AGTATGGTCCCGGCATACCTGGGATATTACTATGGCTTCACTCAGTGTACCTTCCCATACAATGAAGGGGTCCTCAGATGATGCATGGGGCACTGGGAAAGGTTTCTGATAATTGTCTTTCTCACCAAAGTGAGGTCAAAATGTAAATACAGAGGAGGCAGTCCGTACCCACCCATGACTCAACATATTTTCGACGATCACACAAAGTGGGGTCGTACCCACTACTAAGTTAGATCTGTACACACTACCTGCCCCCTACCAGCCCTTATGTACATGGTGTAGATAAGTATTACCAACGCAAGGGAGACTTGGTAATATTGACAATTACGAGGCTCTGTACACACAAATTTGAATATTGCGCAAGAGAAAACATACCGTAATATATATGTTTGACCATAAACAGTGACTTTTCGTTTTGTCGCCTGCTAACATCATGCATTTGTCAGCTGGTGTGTTCTGGCTTTGAAAACATATTTAGTCAAATGGTCCACACTCGATTATTTACAGACCCCGCCAGATAGCTGGAATATTGCTGAGTGTGACGTAAAACTAAACTCATTCACTCACTATTTAGTCAAGTCTGCCTGGTGTGGGGTTTCTTTCTTCTTCTTCTTCTTCTTCTTCTTCTTCTTCTTCACGCTGTACTAAGCAATGTACATACCCAGACATTCTGGTGATTGATACTACGAGGTGTTACCCAAAGCGTCTGTTGTGCATCCAACCAAGTCACCAAGTCAGATTCCGTAAGTCACCTCTTAGTTCTAGCCAGGACTCCTCAGGAGGCTCCCTCACAGGGTGTCACAAGTTGGATGCGGGGTTTAGACGACTATCACAAATTCCACTATGGTCCAGAAAAACTAACCACTTCACTGGAGTATCTAGGAGTGGAACCCATGACCAACTAGCCCTACCATGACTGTGGGTCTCAACTCTGCACAGTCAGATTAGATGTTCGAGTAAGTTGTTGATGATTAATCACTTCACATGCCCTTCTTTGTCTGGCGGATTGACACATGCAGACACAGTGGACATGGAAGTTTAGAGATATTTTACAGATATTGAAGATACCCCAGGTTATCTGGTCATTCGAGGAACTGTCGATGTGTTTGGAGACAGCGTGTAATATGGAACTCTTCGGCAGCAGTCCAAGAGCATGACAGGTACTTGCGGCATCAAGATTTGTGCTGGAACCAGTTACAACTCGACAGATATGAAGGCATGCAAGGGAACATGACCGGTCAGCGTATTGTGGACCAAATGTTACACCCAATGGTCATTCCACTTCCTAGGGAGCACCTTAACAATTATGTTCCAGAATGACAATCCTCACAGATCATGTTACAGGTCTGTTTGAGGCAGCATGTGTCTGAACACAGTTCTGGACAGTCAGATCTCCAGGCATGTCGCCAGTCATGACACTGATTGAACACCTGTGGAATGTTCTGGTCCGACCTGCAACCGACCTGACCAGTCCCAGAATTTGCAACAGTGAGAGACACAGCTCAGTGTTCGGTTTCCAGTATGACCAGATAACAAGCACATTACCATAGACCAGAGATTGACTGTAATATGAAGATTAAATTCCACAACTTCATATACTCTATGGGACCAGTGCTGATTTTTGTGTCGAGATGCCAATATGTTTTAACTTGCATTCATGTAAAATTACCTCAATGAATAAAAACATTAGTCTTCCAAATCAAAGCTATGGCTTGAGCCAACTAGGGGTTGCTGAAATCATGACAAAAGTTACATTGCCATTTCAAAAACAACAGATATTTAGTATGTGACCTGAAGTGGTTGCAATATGAAGAAGAATGATATATGTGTAAACAGTGTAATTTCACAAAATATGATGGAATAATTTATTTTCATATAATCTGAACTAATTTGGTGGTTCCCGAACATACTGTTCCTTCTATAAACCAGATGGATCCAGGATAAGATGCAAATTAGAGACTTGCAGCACATACCACCACTCCCAACCTGATCCTTCAAACACTGTAACCGCAGACAAACACAATATTTATACATGATATTGATATCTGAAACTGACCTCAACAAAACACCTTGTCGCTGGCTGACTTGGTTGACACATGTCATCGGTTCCCAATTGCGCAGATCGATGCTCATGCTGTTGATCACTGGATTGTCTGGTCCAGACTCGATTATATACAGACCACCGCCATATAGCTGGAATATTGCTGAGTGCGGCGTAAAACTAAACTCACTCACACACTCAACAAAACACTGATCACCGACATTATTGTTTTGCAATGTAAATGCCAGGTGTTGAGCCAACAACAAAAGTCATGCAGATATTTTGGAATCTTGTATTACAATGAGGCATCAATAATAGCAGCAATACAAATATAAACAATATCAGACATAAAACAGCATACCAGGATGAGCCATCAAAAACTATTTGTCACTAGATCTTATATTAACGTAATAAATATAGTCATAAATAGCATGCAGGAAGTATACACCTTGGCTATACTGAGATATATACAATGGTAAAAGCTGGACTATACAAGCCTACGGATACAAGCAGTCCCAGCCAGGAACTGGTTCATAAGCAGGAGTAACCAATAATACGCTATAGGGGGATATAGCTAAATCATGGGGCATAATGTCATCAGCCATGAATAAACAGATGACAATAGAATATTCTTATATTTGCATATATATTATTGTTTTCCTATAAAATAATGCCCACAAAAACTTACTCCACTTAAAGATCCATTTACAAGAAGGCAACTCTTGAGGAATATTTCAAAATGACTTGTTATGCCATTTCAATACACTCAAACGTACATGCCTCCACATTCTAAACCTGGGTCCATTATCGTGTAAACGCTATAATTGGTATCCAGGGTAAACGTACGAGTAAAGGAAACCTCTTGAGACATGTTCTGGGTAACTATTGCTGTGTGAATGATTTACTCAGTAACAAGTAACTAAAACATTAACAAACTAAAACCCTAGTCAGCAGTTTCTCTTTGAGAGAAAACTTTAGTTTACCTATGATATGTACCTGTTCAAGAGTGAACACACTATTATCTTGAAGCACTATTAAAATCTCAAATAAGCAGGTTCATCAACACATGATGTTATACAACACAGAAGACTGAAAATATTTCTGATATGAATTCCAACTGGCAAGAAAGGCTTATGTTTAATCCCATTGACATCAAATGATTTATTAAAAGTGTCAAGTTATTTCATGTAGAAAACAACAAATGTTAAATCTAATCACTTATCAAGTGAAGTATTTTCATCTAAAACTGATGATGAATGAGTTGGTTTACACTTGCTTCAGTGTCAGCCATATAATGGGGCGTCAGCTTTATGTGAGAGAACCTGGACTGATCCAGGCCTAGTGAAACCAACAGCATGGTGCTGTAGACAACAAACATGATGATAAAACTCAAACCAATAACACAGGTTTCTAGTTCACCTGGATGATACAATCCTGAAAATTCACTTGGAAGATAGAACTGATTTTACTGTACTTTGCTCTGCTGGTATAAAATAATGAATGGTGAAAATTGCCATTTAGAATTTTAAAGCTATAATGGAGTTTGGTTGTGGTACAGTATGTCAGTAATTTAATGCTTGCCGTTTGAGGAAACACCTCATTTCTCTCAAGTCAGTATACTTTTGACTGACTGACTGAGTTTGTTTTACGCCGCTTTTAGCAATATTCCAGCAACATCACACCAGGGGACACCAGAAATGGGCTTCACAGTATACTTATGAAGTCCTTTATACTCCAGAAGGCTGATACACAACTTTTCGCTGACGAGGCACAAGCAATCTGAGACAAATACAAGCACAAGCTATGTTGATATAGTTTTTGTTCACTTCCTGCTGTCTAATGATATTTGTTCACTCTCGCAGTCCATATTATGTTCACTCAGTTGCCAGTATCTTAATGATATTTCTTCACTTGCTGGTATCTAAATGTTTGTTCACATCCTCGTGTTTGAATTATGTTTGTTCACTTCCTGATGTGTAAACGGTGTTTGTTCACTTCCTGGAGTGTAAACGGTGTTTGTTCACTTCCTGATGTGTAAAAGGTGTTTGTTCACTTCCTGGTGTGTAAACAGTGTTTGTTCACTTCCTGGTGTGTAAAAGGTGTTTTTATTCACTTCCTGGTGTGTAAACGGTGTTTGTTCACTTCCTGATGTGTAAAAGGTGTTTGTTCACTTCCTGATGTGTAAAAGGTGTTTGTTCACTTCCTGGTGTGTAAACAGTGTTTGTTCACTTCCTGATGTGTAAAAGGTGTTTGTTCACTTCCTGGTGTGTAAACAGTGTTTGTTCACTTCCTGGTGTGTAAAAGGTGTTTGTTCACTTCCTGGTGTGTAAACAGTGTTTGTTCAATTCCTGGTGTGTAAAAGGTGTTTGTTCACTTCCTGGTGTGTAAAAGGTGTTTGTTAACTTCCTGGTGTGTAAAAGGTGTTTGTTCACTTCCTGATGTGTAAAAGGTGTTTGTTCCCCCTGGTGTGTAAAAGGTGTTTGTTCACTTCCTGATGTGTAAACAGTGTTTGTTCACTTCCTGGTGTGTAAACAGTGTTTGTTCACTTCCTGATGTGTAAAAGGTGTTTGTTCACTTCCTGGTGTGTAAACAGTGTTTGTTCACTTCCTGGTGTGTAAACGGTGTTTGTTCACTTCCTGGTGTGTAAACAGTGTTTGTTCACTTCCTGGTGTGTAAAAGATGTTGGTTCACTTCCTGGTGTGTAAAAGGTGTTTGTTCCCTCCTGGTGTGTAAAAGGTGTTTGTTCCCTCCTGGTGTGTAAAAGGTGTTTGTTCACTTCCTGATGTGTAAAAGGTGTTTGTTCACTTCCTGATGTGTAAACAGTGTTTGTTCACTTCCTGATGTGTAAATGGTGTTTGTTCACTCCCTGGTGTGTAAACAGTGTTTGTTCACTTCCTGGTGTGTAAAAGGTGTTGGTTCACTTCCTGGTGTGTAAACAGTGTTTGTTCACTTCCTGGTGTGTAAAAGGTGTTTGTTCACTTCCTGGTGTGTAAAAGGTGTTTGTTCCCTCCTGGTGTGGAAAAGGTGTTTGTTCACTTCCTGATGTGTAAAAGGTGTTTGTTCACTTCCTGATGTGTAAAAGGTGTTTGTTCACTTCCTGGTGTGTAAACAGTGTTTGTTCACTTCCTGATGTGTAAATGGTGTTTGTTCACTTCCTGGTGTGTAAACAGTGTTTGTTCACTTCCTGGTGTGTCAAAGGTGTTTGTTCACTTCCTGGTGTGTAAACAGTGTTTGTTCACTTCCTGGTGTGTAAAAGGTGTTTGTTCACTTCCTGGTGTGTAAAAGGTGTTTGTTCCCTCCTGGTGTGGAAAAGGTGTTTGTTCACTTCCTGATGTGTAAAAGGTGTTTTTATTCACTTCCTGGTGTGTAAAAGGTGTTTGTTCACTTCCTGAAGTGTAAAAGGTGTTTGTTCACTTCCTGGTGTGGAAAAGGTGTTTGTTCACTTCCTGATGTGTAAACAGTGTTTGTTCACTTCCTGGTGTGTAAATGGTGTTTGTTCACTTCCTGATGTGTAAACGGTGTTTGTTCACTTCCTGGTGTGTAAAAGGTGTTTGTTCACTTCCTGGTGTCAATATAATGTTTGCTCATTTCATGTTCTCAAAGTAGTGTTCAGTCTTTTGTGTCTACACTAAGATTACACTCCCTGGTTTCAATACAGTATAAACAAGATGGGGTGTACGATGTCTATCTGGAACATTTACATCCTCATCACTAAGCTTGATTTGTTAGAAAAATGGTACCTGTGACTGAGCATCAACCTCTCAACCACAGTAACATTTCCCACTCAGATAGTTGAGACAGTCTCAACAAAGATTACAACACAAACCACTCAATACAATATATATGAATATACAAATGCTGGCTGTTCTAATCTCATTTTGTTTTGCTGAGAGTGATATTGTGTCTTGTTAGGTAACACAAACAACAGGGTTCAAACACTGTCATATATACTCCATACAGGCACAGGTACACAAGGATTTGTTGGACATAGAAAAGAAAATATGCCCCAGGAAATAAAAAGAGTACAAACAGACATCCCAAATAATCCAGTGCATAATATCTCCAGTCCAGTATGATCATACCTAAGCTCGCTCCTTACCATAGCTATGTTTTGAAGTGAAGTCCATCTCGCTTATCAATAGCTCAGCTCCAAAGATCTCTTACCAATAAATTTGAAATCAGCAGCAAATCAAAAGCTTCTTCAGGACTCCTAGCTGTGAATAGCTGCAGAATTACAGATGCAGCTTAAAGCAACATTTACTCACTCGTCTGGACTCAATATACTAGTACATTCAACGTCACAGCCTAGTACAACAGAACTCTCCAAGTACTTAATCAAAACAGAAGACTGCAATACATGAATGTTTAGCTGGAAAAGAGGCGACAACAGATGAAGGAAGTAGTTGTCAACTATGACAGCACATGAAAACAGAGTACTGGGGATATTGCTGCTTGTCCCCATCTTGTAGGAACAGTGGACTTTGACTGGACATCTAACTTCAGAGTAAACAGACTCATGCCAGTTATGTTTGGACACTTTCGGGTTCCGTAGCATGACGCGTCGTATTAGTAACGATGGGGTGCATGTAAAAGCATCAGCAGAAATTACCTATTTCGTAATTGCCCCCTTGACATACGCTTTGTCATGTGATCCTGTAGAAGAGTCGTCTGCTTGTTTACACTGACTACACATGCCTGGCAATCACTGTCTGTAGAGTACGTTCAAAGTCTGTACGAGAGCATTCCAGGGAGGATCCAACAAGTACTTGCGAAAGGCCATTTGACAAAATATTTTTCTTTTCGCGCAATCTACCGTCAAAAATTCGAGTCGAATGTAAACAAGGCAGCCATCTTGGAAAAGTGTCTGACTGACTGAATGACAGAGTTTTAGCGATATTCCAGCAACATCACGGCGGGGGACACCAGAAATGGGCTTCACACATTGTGCCCATGTGGGGATTCGAACCCGGGTCTTCGGTGTGACGAGCCAAAGCTTTAACCATTAGGCTACCCCACCGCCCCGGAAACGTGTCTGAATATAACTGGCATGAGTCTATCAAATCCAAACACTATTATGGAAGAGAACAGGGCCAGGACACCACTGCACAAAGTAATACTCCACCATGATCGTAGTCTATGTTACGGTAACCTTAACATTAACACTGTTTAGTGCAATGGAGCCCAGGTGTCCTAATATGCTGGAAGACACACACAAGGCCATTCACTCACAATGACACCTTGTGGTCACAAAACAGGTCAGGTGTCAAACACACGTTGTTGACCCCAGCACTAACAATACCTATGGACTCCTGCTAAGTTACCAAATCATGACAAGTATTTAATCTCTATCCAGTACATGAAAAATATCATTTTACCCGTTTTATAACAAGATCTGAACAATGTCCTGGTTATGTCATCAGGACTTGTTTCAGCAACATGGTAACAGCAAACAATAACTACAGTAAATGGATACAAAAGGAGCAAAGCAGTTATGTAGAAGTCTGCAAATAAACTACCCTAGTAACCATGGCAACCAATCACTAAGAACAATACATTGATTGTACTTCAACATCTGAAGCAGAAGCATGCATTCTCTTAATGAAAACAAACCAAACCTCATCTCTCCACATTGATCAGACACACAATGGGAACACCTTAACACAATGACACATGGTTATCCTTGGGACAAAAGGTGGTCAAAACTAGAAAAGTGGAAAAAGTATTTTGATGGCGCTCCTAAGTAGTGGTGTTCCGATTAATTGAAATAATCGAAGATTGGTCGCAGTGACCAAACGACCAAGCAATCGATCACATTTTCTCATAATCGAACATAAACGATTTTGGAACTACTGTTATAGTCTTTGAAATACTTGACAATGGAACATATCTTAGAAGTTGTCAGGGCCTGGAGAACATGTTTATTTCTTAGAAAACTCACTTCACTAACTGAAAAGTCATGACTGAATATTTCTCTAAGACTCCAGGAAGTTTATGTTCATGATATATTAGTCATCCCTTTAAAGTAGCAAGTTGCATCATGTTATACTTTTCTGCAGTAACAACCTGAATAGGAAAATCGGAAAAATGACGCTAACCAATTTTTATCGATGATTGTTCGTTGGTAATGAAGCAATGATCAATTGTGAGATTTCCACAAATTCCCAACACTACTCCTAACTACATAGAGTATTGTGAAGTTTCTATATTGACTGTGTATTGTATGAACATGTTCGGTCAGGGACTCGTAACGACATCACTCAGTAACAATCACTCTGATAAAATCACACCCACTCCAACACTCCAGTGTTTCCTTTGCTTACTGATCAAGGGGTATGTTTATGTAACTAAGGTTCATATTTGCCCTACTTCATATGGACCATGGTAATCCAACTAATCACACTGTATTAGAAAAGAACTAAGTACCACCTACCAAATATTTACATAAAACATTTGCTGCAATAATATCCTGTATAAATTCTGAGAAAATATTTCTTTGTGTTTGCAAACTGACATACTGCAATAGCTGACTTAAGCAACCTGACAAAATTCTAGAACGATCAGTTAGTAAACTTTAAAAAGATTGAAACTTTACAGAAATTTCTGTTGTTCATAAAGACAACTGCGTAGGATTATAAAATTGCCTAGGTGAATTAAAATATGGCTTGAAGTCATTTTCGAGAATACTCCACATCAGTAGCAACTGCAACTGGTTACTTCTACTAGTCCAGATAATTTAACATGAACACCCAAGACACATACCGACTCTAAATATCTTTAATGCTGAGGTTTATCTCATGACCAGCGTTCGAAATTAACATCAGTCCTTAGGCCTGAAACGGACTGAAAACCACTCAGACCCACAGCTTTTGTTCCTTATGGACGAGAGCTTTTTCATCCCCAATAACTAAGAGTATTTTTCCAGAAAATATCATTCAGTAATTTCTAGTTGTAAATGAAAACTAGTCAGTCTCTAGAGTCAAATTAAGCTCTTTAACTCAGTTTGTTAGATGTAACATCTGTTTGTTTGCTGGGAATTACTTATATTGTAGCTAATATATAGGGCCTACACATTCTGATCAACATTCTATGGTTCTGGGACCTTAGGGCTTGCAGCTTGTCAGGGTTAACGGAAAACACTGCTCATAACCATGACTACCTGTCTTGGAACTGTCCTGTAGTTCTTTGATCACTCTTTTACTGGCTCCCTCTGCATCTTGGCATCACAACTGTAAATGGGTTCGAGGCTATAACGAGATGTGCGAGAGGACTTTTAACCAGGGAATTGTGTTGTCTATCAACAACATCAGTCAGTATCGCTGACCATCCCATGAAGCACAGTTACCTATTGTCAATGTCTGAGAGGGATATCAATGACATCTTACATATTTTCAAAATGACGTCATTGCTATAATTAAATCTTTCCAAAAGATACATGGAAGTTCAGGATATATGAAAATATAAATGGTTTTCAGCTTACTCTTCCAGGGCCCACCTGCACAAAGCAACTTTAGTACTACAATGATTATTTCTCCCATACTTTAACCTTGGCTTAAAACTGACTGACTGACTGAGTTTGGTTTTACGCCGCTTTTAGCAATATTCCAGCAACATCACGGCAGGGGACACCAGAAATGGGCTTCACACATTGTACCCATGTGGGGATTCGAACCCGGGTCTTCGCGTGACGAGCCAACGCTTTGACCACTAGGCTACCCCACCCCCCCCCTTGGCTTAAGAAAGACATTGGGATTTGATCACTGAAACGAGCCCTTGGTACATTATAGGAGAACTGGGTACATGTCACCTGCCTAACAACAGCATGTAATGTATCTGTATGGATTAGGATGAATGGTAGAGTAGGTAATAACAGGGGAACAGGTTTGGCTGCAGGCTTCGTTTTACTACACGGGCACCATCCTATCAATAGAAATGGCTGTTCCAGTCCATGAACAGCAAGACTTGGTGTTCACACGGTTGTTTCCTTAAGCTTGTTTAGCAGTGACATTTGTTGAAACTAACGGTGAAATTGTGGGACCAGAACCTATGAATTATGACTGATGTATCCCAACTGATTTGATGAAGTTTGTAACATGTTACAATCTCCTACTGGGGCCTGATTTATAGCTAGTGAGAGTCCAGATTTAATGATGCACTAGCAGTTCAGACATACTGTGATTTTCCTTGATTTTTCTGCTGACACAAGACTGTTTTTGTTAACTCTATGTTGCTGTTATTTTAGGAGGTTAAAAATTTGTGAAGGAATTGAAGTGTTAACCAGTTACAAAATTAACTACATTCCCACAATAGCAAATGTACCCTCATCACTGTAATACAAATAGTTTATACTGCCAGCGATAGACAAGAAGCTATAATCCACCAAACATCAACATCTCTTCAGCTGAATCAACAAAGTAAATCCACAGATAAAAGCCTAGGTCATAACCCCTACACAAAGTCCCTTAATTCTGTGTGCCATCAATAATAGTTACATTCAACATGTATTGTTCAAGTTAAGAAACACAACAATTTCAAATTCAAATTGTAAACTGTCTGCGACAACAGTAACACAACATGACCGACACACAGTGTAGAGGAGGTGTACTCATGACAGATCAGTGGAATATCACAGGGCTCCAGATAAGATGAGTCAGTATAATCAGTGAGAGAGAGATACACATAACTTTCTCAGAATACCAGTCAGATTTTGTTTACATGCATGAACCAAACCTGTCTAAATATTGTTTCAGTCCTACACATCCGATCTTAAGATCTCGAATAGTGTTGCTAGTCTCTATTGAAGCGAATATTGTCAAATGTAGATATAATGTTAAGAATAAACATGATGGGAATAGTGCCACTGACAAAACGATTTCTGTTGGAAGTCAAATTTCTCATGGTTACATGTGATTATATGCCAACGCAGACCAAAAAACCTAAATAAAAGCTGCTAAATGTTATGTGTCTCTGTGACAGCAATAAAACCATGCAACCTGTGAAATACTCCTCCTTTTATTTCCATTTGGTATTTTACTCCTCAATTTTAATTTTGAGGAGTGAAATATCCCTGAGTCAAAATTATTATCTGGAGCCCTGAATATCATGGTTGGCATGTGTAGTAGCAGCAGCCTACATAACCTCACAAACTTGCTGATGCCGTGATCTAAACAACCCGACTTTCATGTACATGATTTCCACATCTGTGAAGAAACTTTAAAGGCAACTGATTAAGAAAAAGTAAATGAAATACACAAAATTATAATATCATTAAAATACTGTTTTGTACATATATCAATTCTTGCATACCTTGCTAAAATATCGAATAAACATGACATAAACATTTAATACACATAAGTGTGTTTGCAAGAAGAGTCATTTTCATAACTTTACATGTTGTTCCATCCTACAAAGATGTCTTCTAAAGACCTGTGGAATGGCCGTTTGTGCCCCTTGATTGTCTCTGTAAATGTGAATATCTTCTGTCCTGAGTAGCAGAGTTGGTGTAGCAGAGAGGATGTAGTAATAATAATAAAGGTATTTATATAGCGCTGCCTTCCACCACACAAGGGCAATGCTCAAAGCGCTGAAAGTGGATGTAGCAGAGAGGATGTAGCAGAGTTGATGTAGTAGACAATACACGCAGTGGGAATCTCTCCCTCATGTACACTGGGATGTCAAGGATGGGCACTTGTCTGGCATGTACTTGCTGAGTTTCTCAAACATGATGAAGAACAAGTGAGCACTATGTCCCAGCGACAGTCACAGGGAATAAGATGGCATAGGCTTTTGTCTTCTGTCACGAACCTGGAATTTCCACATCGCGTTTTGATGATTGACCATCCTCAGATAGCACACTGGAAATATGTTCCTCTCTCCTACCAAACACACTGACACTGTAGATATTCTACATTTGTTGCTCACATCAATGGGAGAATACAATCCTGTCTTCTGTGAACTGACCAACAAGATAGTTGCCATAGTTCCTACATCCATGACAGACGGATAATATTCCTGTCTTCTGTGAACTGACAGGCAAGATAGTTGCCACAGTGCCACTGCTCGTGACAGATGGATTATATTCCTCTCCTACAACACAAGAAGTAAGATGTCCGTTGTCATGTTGGCCCTCATCAACACAGCAAGCAGACACGTCTCCCTGTGACATTTGGGATGTAGAAGACTTTCTCAAACATGGTCATGACTGTAACAAAGTGAGCTGCATCTCCATCACATGAAGCCCCCCACCGAGAGGACGTCGAAACAAATGTCACATACCCGCACAGGCTTACTGAGATTAAACTTTACTATTGGCATGTCCTTGCTTGAGCACTTGGAACACAACAGGCGTCCACAATGACGGCTGAAAGAGATAAGGCATTGGCTCAAAATACAAATAATCAACACAGTCAGAGATTGAAACTATACTAGTATGTCTTTTACTACAGGCTGTAGATTTGAGCTTCAGAAACCCATCCTTATCGGAAGATGAGACTAACAGGATCAGGTGGTCAGGCTCACTGACTTGTCTCATCTCATATGTCATCGTATCCCAATTGCACAGATCGATGCTCATTGACATTCACTGAATTGTTGGGTCCAGTCTCGATGGTTTACAGACCACCGCCATTTACTTGGAATATTGCTGAGTGCGGCATTAAACAACAAGCATACAAACAAACTACAACAGTCTGTGTTAAACCAAGCATCAGGGCAGTACCCAAACTCCCTGCCACGTGTAAGGAATCAAGTCAGGGACGGGTGAACACTATCACGGACTGGTCAGATCTTCACACAGACAGAACCAGTGTTAGAGTAAAAGTTCTGTATGAGGTTGTATCTGATCACAATGGAGACTGTTTCTCTTCTGGCATGTCTGAGAGAAGCCTCTATGGCCGCGCACAGATTTGTCTGAATTTAAAACTCTGTAAATTCAAGGTATAAACGACAGCATTGAAATATATTGCCAACAAACCCAGAAGCTTAATCAGGATGAATCTATGGATAATAATAGCATCCTGTCATGGTCAAGGAACACAACTCTGTACAGCAGTACCGTACATGACGAGGGCACCATGTTCATTAAAGTGTATTTATTAGAGACGTGTCTAGGACTTCTAGACTACACAGAGACCATGCAGACATCAGTACTTACCAGTGATGTTTTCTAGTTTTAATACTGAACTTGACTCCACACTCCAGGCAGATTTCTCCCTCACTCCATGGGGGTTCCTTTGACAGCATATCTGCAGGCATATATAACAAGGTTATCTTTCACGACCATCACAGGCCACTTTTGTTCTTCAAGAAGACGGAGAATAACATGTAAATTTGTCTTGCTGTCACTGCAAACAGACTTCTAAATACAGAACCGTCACGCTGAAGACCTCGGTTCGATTCCCCACATGGGTACAATGTGTGAAGCCCATTTCTGTTGTCCCCAGCCGTGATATTGCTGGAATATTTCTAAAAGCGGTGTAAACTAAACTCACTCACTCACAGAACCATCCTGACACCATCTTGTCTGGCAGACTACACTTATCTTTCCTGTTCTACAAGGTTTTACAGATTTTAGGAATGAGATGCTTTAATACTGTAAGCCTTAGAAAAGAGTACTTGAAAACAAAAATAGGATCTTGCAGCAACAATGGTGGCCAAGATCACACAAAAACTTGAGCTGCAGAGAGATCAACTCTCAGTTTGGACCTGGCTGACCAAAGTGAGGCAAAGTCAGTTTTTTAGTGCAATAAATCTCCTAGGTATTATGAACATACAGTGACCCCATTCACCACCACAGCTTGGCTTTGGTTTTGTTGAATGGTACACCACAAATAGACATCCAGTCAAACTTCACTGAACTTTTATTGACTGGATGTAGCAGATATATCACTGGTATCCAACCAGACCTGGTGTGCTCACTCACATACAACTTAATATCATGTAGACAATTCCCACTCTTGTATTAGAGCTTCGGGAACCATCTGATTTCTTTTATCAGTCTTTTTTCAGCAAAACATCTTTTCCAACTGAAGTCTGATTTGATAAAATATACTAGTAAGGCCAGACCAATTTCATTCTTGTTTTACGGATTTTTGTCCTCAGAAAACCTAAAGGCAGGAGGTAAAGAAAAATAAATAAAAAATAAACATCACCAAAGTACTATTTCATTTAAATTCTAAAAGTAATTTAATTTTGGCAATTAATAAAGTGTATATGGGGCAAAAACCAATCAAAAAATATTCTTGTAACTTTACAGTGAAGAAAAGACCAGTAAACAAAGGAACAATTAAGTAAAGAAAGTCCTCAAACGAAACAATGGATTAAATACAAACACATTCTACACATTACAATCAAAATATCACCAGAATATCAATGGCACACAAAGGGATGCAACGAAAATGATCACCACAACAAATTGATGAAACTCACCTAATAACTTGAACAGCAACTGTTTGGTGGCAACTGGTGCATTGAAAATACTGAGACCTTGTTTGTTGATGATGCCGAAGCAAGCACCTGCCCGGACCAGAGCTCGACACAGGTTGCCGTTGCCATTACAGTAAGCCAACAACAGTGCTGGAAGAATAACACAAACTCTATGTAACTTAGCTATGCTATTTGTAATCTGTACCAGGAATATACATGCTTCACGTATCACCTGAGTTTTATTGGAACATTTGATCGATAATAACTCCAAGGTCATTCAGAGTGAACAAGAATATGAGGAAATCAACTTTCAGGATTTTATGCTGCAGTCAGCAAATTAACAAAATAGGACAGCATCCTGTAAATGTTTTGGGAGAGTAGTAGTACTTGACAGCCATGACAGCATAATCAGCGTCACACAGAGCAAGGCTAACATGATGAATTATAAACAGGAACAGGGCAATAGGACGACATGACAAAAGGGCCCCAAAACGGAAAAGTCCAAAGGGCCACAAGAAAGTAAAAAAGGCCTCAAACCCCTAGTCAAAAGGGCCACATCAATAAGCCAAAAGGGATTCAGATCCCTTGTCAAAAGGGCCACATCAAAAAGTCAAAAGGGCTACACCAAAAAGTCAAAAGGGCCTCAGACCCCAAGTCAAAAGGGCCCCATATAAAAATATAATAATAACATCTTTTTTTGATAGTGTGTTATAGTAAAAGGTCTGAGGCCCTTTTGACTTTTTCATGAGGCCCTTTTGACTTTTGATGAGGCCCTTTTGACTAGGGGTTTGTGACCCTTTTGACTTTTTTGTGGCCCTTCTGACTTTTCCGTTTGGGGCCCTTTTGTCATGTTGCCCTTTACACTAGGACCCTTATAAACAGCTGCCAAGTGCGTAAGTATTGCATGTCAAGCAAGGACAAACTTTGCCAATGAGTGAGTCACCATGTATATACAAGTTAAATGTAAGTGCATGTGGAATCTTTCTAAGTGTGATGCACCTATATATATATATATATATACTGGATTTCTATGGCATCTGGTATCCAACATAAAGCTGCTCACCGGTGCATCACAAAGTCTAGTGGGGAATTATTACCCCAGATAACCTAAGCTGCCTGTGAGGCGTTAGGAGGTTAATAGTCACATGACTTTTCCCACCATGTACCCATTTTCTGCTAGGTGAAACCGAAGCAATTTTGAACAAACTCTCTAGCCGAAGGTGAGACCACATGTATGACATGTGCTTCATTGTGGGGCAGGACTGAAGTCCTAAAAACTCTCAGGAGTCAAGCTGCCAAACATGGTCACCCATCCAAGGAATCTCCGCACCCAACGTTTAACTTCAACTGATTTGTGATCTGAGCTCTATACACAGGATCACACACCACCTACCGGTGTTTCCCTCGGAGTCAGGTCTGTTAATGTTATATTCAGGCATGGTCTCGCGGAACAGTTCAAAGATGGCAGCTGCATTGTCCCTGCCGTACTGTCCCAGTATATGGAGAGGGTTTTGACCCCTGTATTATAAATGAAACATGTACGACACACTTAATATCATGGCAATACACCCGAGTGCTTCATATATAATATCATACTATCAGCTGTTTGAGACCATTTCTTTCCCTCAAAAACAATCTGGGCCTAGATTTTCGAAGCTCTCTTAGCGCTAAGATAGTCGCAAGTTAATGTTAATGTATGGCACTTACGACTATCTTAGCTCTAAGAGAGCTTCGAAAATCTAGGCCCTGGTTAGTAAGTGTGAATGTATTGTTCAACAGAACAAATGCACAAGTGAAGATTTAACAGCAATTAGAGAGAAAAGCTACAAAGAAGAGATACCTGACAAAACTACATTATACCGTTGATAATCTGCTAAGTATACAAGCAGAATGATGATACTTTTTTATGGGTATACAACTTCTTTATTCTGAGAAAGGCGACGTTTCGACATAGATTTTAATGTCATTGTCAAGCAAGTGAACGACATGACAATCTATGTCGAAACGTCGCCTTGCTCAGAATAAGGAAGTTGCATATATATACCCATAAAAAAGTATCATCATTCTTCATCATCCCAACTTCTAAAAAGCCTATCAAGGAAGTATACAATGATACAAAACTAATATTGGACTGCAAGAGATGGCCATGGACAATACAGTAGCATTTCTTAGACAGTATCGCTGAACAGAAAGTGTTGATTACTCCATGACCTCTGCCACACCTACAAGACCAGTGCAGTGCTACTCACTTGGCGTTGACAGTCTCGGCGTTGATCCGGCTCTCCGTGAGGAGCACTTTGACAGTGTTGAGGTTCCCCTGGTGTATCGCTATGTGCAGGGCTGTGGACAGATGCAGCACGTGTCAGTAACACCACAACCGTCAGTAGCATGGTGTACAGGGTTTTAAGCTAGTACGCTAAGAGAGCTCACATGTGTAACAAATGTATCAGCATAAGTTAACATTCACCTTCCTCTTAATGAAATAAAAGTGTAAGACAATGAGGTGTATCTTGTGACTTCCATCAGGCCATAAATATGATAAAAGTGGAACTTGAAGTGAGAACAAGGTCAATTGTGAGGTGACAATATCTGTGTATGAAAAGATAATCAGAGACTAATATCAGTGACTATGGATTAACAAAATGGCTGTGTCTTCAGATTAACAGACTACTGCAGAGTAATGGCTGTTTCTCATATTTCAGTTGTAATATCTTTGTACAACAAGACTACAGGCTATATATTGCAAAATCAATGAGATATTCATCCAGCTACATACCATTATTCAGATTTTCATCAACAGCATCATAATCTATGCTATTCTCCAGTAACACTGAGCAGATGGAGGCGTGGTCACTGGCTGCAGCGAGGTGGAGACAGGTCTCAGCTGCCTTTGTCATCTCATTGATAGATGCTCCAGCTAGTATCTGAAGAAGACAACATCATATGAGTCAACATCAGCTCATCACCCAAACAAGTGAGTCATGCAAGTCAGCTTAACTGTGTAAAGCGAAAAGGAAAGTAAGTCACAGAGATACCCGAGTAAGCCAGAAAATGCAAATCAGTAAAGCAAAACCAGAGACCAGTGTAAAGCAAGTCAGAAAAGAAAGACAGGAGTGTCAGTCCAGTCAAAAAAGCAAGTCAGAAATATGGACCAGTAAAACAAGTCAGTAATGTAGTCCAGTAAAGCAAGTGAGTAATGTAGTCCAGTAAAGCAAGTGAGTAATGTGGACCAGTAAAAACAATCAGTAATGTAGACCTGTAAAGCAAGTCAGTAATGTAGACCAGTAAAAAAAATCAGTAATGTAGACCTGTAAAGCAAGTCAGTAATGTAGACCAGTAAAGCAAGTCAGTAAGATAGACCAGTAGTGAGTGAGTGAGTATGGTTTTACGCCGCTTTTAGCAATATTCCAGGAATATCACGGCCGGGGACACCAGAAATGGGCTTCACACATTGTGCCCATGTGGGGATTCGAACCCGGGTCTTCGGCGTGACGAGCGAACGCTTTAACCACTAGGCTACCCCACCGCCCCTAGATAGACCAGTAAAACAAGTCAGTAATGTAGACCTGTAAAGTAAGTCAGTAATGTAGACCTGTAAAGCAAGTCAGTTATGTAGACCAGTAAAGTAAGTCAGTAATGTAGACCAGTAAAGCAAGTCAGTAATGTAGACCAGTTAAGTAAGTCAGTAATGTGGACAGTAAAACAAGTCAGTAATGTAGACCTGTAAAGCAAGTCAGTAATGTAGACCAGTAAAACAAGTCAGTAATGTAGACCTGTAAAGCAAGTCAGTAATGTAGACCAGTAAAGCAAGTCAGTTATGTAGACCAGTAAAGCAAGTCAGTAAGATAGACCAGTAAAACAAGTCAGTAATGTAGACCAGTGAAGTAAGTCAGTAATGTGGACCAGTAAAGCAAGTCAGTAATGTAGACCAGTAAAGCAAGTCAGTAATGAAGACCAGTAAAGCAAGTCAGTAATGTAGACCAGTAATAAAAATCACTAATGTAGACCAGTAAAGCAAGTCAGTTATGTAGACCAGAAAAGTAGACCAGTAAAGCAAGTCAGTTATGTAGACCAGTAAAGCAAGTCAGTAATGAAGACCAGTAAAGCAAGTCAGTAATGTAGACCTGTAAAGAAAGTCAGTAATGTAGACCAGTAAAGCAAGTCAGTTATGTAGACCAATAAAGCAAGACAGGAGTGTCAGTCCAGTCAGTAATTTGACTAAAGCAAGTCAGTAATTAGAGAAGCAAAACAGGAGTGTCAGAACAGTCAAAACAGTGCAGTCAGTAAAGACATCAGTGTTCTAGATACAGGCCTGGGTTCTAAACATGCCCGCTTGTGACTGCAAAATTATACAAACCTGTAGAGGTTATGAATTCTTTGAAGAAAGTCCTCCTTGGGGTACATATAACTTATAAGCATTTAAATGTCCATTTTAAATCCTACGACAGTTGTAACTATATTTTTTCATAAAATATTTACAAAACAAAAAACAGTCGTTTTGTATTGTGAGACCACCCCTACAGGGCCCCACAGGACCCCCTACAGCCAAGAGCAGGAAACTCTCGCCGTCTACCTCGTACCTCACTTTTCATGCTGAACGTTTCAGACAGAATGATGGGAGGCGGGTGGCCATACCCCAAGGAGGACTTTCTTCAAAGAATTCATAACCTCTACAGGTTTGTATAATTCTTTTTCAGAAGAGGTCCTCCTTGGGGTACATATAAGCATAAGACAGACTCCCAAAGATATTTGAGACGGGAGTGGCATTCTGTCTGGCAACAACTAAACCCCTGGTGGAGTGAAATCTACAACCGATACGGAAAAAGAAAAAAACACACTTACCGAGCCACCTGACCGCTGATGTCAATCAGGCAGGGGCATGGCTAGGGCAGGAAAGAGAGAGCCCAAGCTTATACGTCAGTTGTCTCAAATCAATTATGACATTAAACCCCACCCCCAACCATTACAATGGAAAGGAATGTATGGGGGCATGCCGAAACAACTCCCAACCCTAATATAGCCCCACCCTGAGAAGTGTGGCGAGAGGTATAAGGGTAGGGAAAGCGTAAAGTAACCCAGGAGTCGAGCTAATAAGTACTGCAAACTAATGCTCGAATGCACCCCTCCTGTTTGGAAGAGGGCTTGCCGGGACCTCGATAAAACCCAGAGAAATTATTAGCCTCGCTAAAAACTTTCTGAGGAAATCGAACGAGTAACACCATGCATTGTATGAGTGAAATGCAGGATAAAACACCCCCAGCAAACGCTCTCGGCATGAGGAGGGTAAGTGTAAACCACCATCACCCAAAGTGCTGATTAACAAAGACTCCCAAATACTTAAGTCTTGGGAAGAGGGAAAAAATCTGTTAGCGAAATCCCCTGAATAGCGAAAAGCGTAGCCAAACATGTGTTGGCTCACTATTACACTAACCTGGTCACGTGACATGCGGCTCCAAGAGAGGCATACCAAGCAGTGACCCGTGGGGGGTTCGTACCCAATTCCGTCGCAAGACGGGTTAATAGCATATGACTGGTTATAGCGTTCAAAACCGGCCCCGCCCTCTCTTGCCTTTAAGTGAAGAGGACGTCAGGGTTGTGTGTACACCCAAACCCGACCCAACCCGAAAGGGTGGTAAGGCTTATACGATGTAGTGATATGAACCATATCGACATTGAACACAGAACCGATACCAATGACCAGTTACTAACTTGGTCAGGGTGGCAGGACACTCTCCACTGGAGAGAACCGAAACACCGAACCGAGCACGATCCTTAGAATGCGTGTCAAGTCGGTAATGGCGAATGAAGGCGTTCTGCCGGCTCCAAAGAGCGACAGAACCGATCTCTTCATTGAGCAGTGCCACTGTGTATTGCCAACAAAGCGGCATCTGCCCTACCCAGTCTGCCTTCAACCACTCGGGGGAAGGTACACTTTAGCATTGTAACCGAACAATTACGGAAACAAGCCAACGAGATAAAGTCCGCTTGCTAGCAGACTCCCCAGTCTTCCCGCCACCAAACAGAACACATGGGTACCCGTACTTCGTTATAGTCACTCCAACGGGTGAGCAATCGAAAGATTGGTCCCCGGTGTGGAAGGCTGGGTAAGGGGTGGAAGTTGGATATGAGCAGTCACGTGGAAAGCAATATCGAACTGAGAGTGGTAGGTATCCGGCAGGCGAATACGGACATGATCAGTATAAAATACTGTCAGTGTCGGGTCAGTGGGTATTGCATGGATGTATCCGACCCTTCTACCAGAGCCCACCACCACAAGTAAAGCTGTCTTCCAGGTCAACAAGCGAAGTGAGAGAGATGATATACTTGAAAAGTCAGGGCCAGACAGTCAATTGAGAATAATTGGCAATTTTAAGGTGGGCTGGGTGGCCGCCAAGGCGGTCGAACCCTGTTCATGTCAGCTACGAAGTGCTGTACGAGAGGGTGCTGCCTAGGCAGAGCACCATCCAACAAGGTGTGAACTGTGGAAATAGCCATGGAGTACCCGGGAATGGTGGAGGTCCTAAGGCTCTCAACCAAAACGAGGTTATAGTAACTCCAATATCCGAACTAAATCCGCAGAATAGGGATTCTGAAATCTGCACACCAGCGAGCCCCATCTATCAACACACTGAACGGGTGTCGAATCCCACCTCGAAGCCAGAATTGTCTGCAACGGCTGCAGGTATTACGCGTGTCTGGGGGTTAGACCCGACAGAGGCCAAGCCACCCAGAGAATCTGAGGATTCGGGTGTGGCGCCCCATTCAGAGTGAGAATGTTTGGCCGAAAAGGTAATTCGAATCCCGGTGTATGGGATCGAACACCAACCTGACTGTTGTCAATTCCAGCACATTGATGTGCAGGTTGTGACTTCGTTGTCAAGAGACCACAGGTCGCCCAGAACATTGCCCCAACCCGGGAGGGATGTATCTGGCTGGACTTAGGGCTACGTTGTCTCCAGGGGGAGTCCCTCGGAGAGACGCCTGACGTCTGTCCATCTGACTGCGTGAGGTTGACGTTTGGCAGCTTCGTAAGAGTGACCAACACTGATCGTGAGGTTCCCAGACTCAACTGTTATTCTAAAACCCTGATGAGCCAGCCGCCTAGGTACGGGTGACAACACCAGCACTAGCTGCAATCTGGCTATCTGGGCTGTAATACACCTCAATTAGGTGAACACCCTTGGCGCCGCCGTAATGTAGCCTAAGGGGAGCACACAAAACTGGTAGCACGAACCATCGAAGAAGAACAGAAGGTAAATCTTGAAATCAGGGTGCAATGGAACAAGGAGGTACGCGACCTCGAGGTCGATTGACGTGCGCCAATCCCCTGTCTCGACAGATGAGATCACCGAGCGCGGTGTCTCCATCTTGAAGGACAGTACCTCTTTTAACTTGTTCAGCTCTCAGATGAAAATGTGTCTGAACATTTCGTTCTTAATGGCAACAAGAAAATAAATGGAGTCAAACCCATTCCTGACCATTGGAAACCACCTCGATGGTTGCCCTGCCCAGCAGAGACTGGATCTTGGCTTGGAGTATTTCCGCCGTCTCCCGGGAAGCCAACACTGCCGATTTGTAGTAGAATACAGTAAACCCCTGCAGTCGGCAACATAAGGTTTGCCGGTGCCTTGGCACCTGAGGGATTAATGAGAAGCTCGACAGACTTTCGTATTCCTTGAAACAGTCCCGGGCGCCATAGGCCCATAACCGCACTCATCATTAGCATGCAGTCCCAAGCCAGATGAGAGTTGACCTCCGTCAGATGCCGCCCAGAGTCGCCGATGAAAAATCACCGGCGCTCTTTCCCCTTACCACCAGCTCCCTCAGTAGAGCTGAGAGATGCGCCAAGTGGAGCATACAGCTCGTTGAGCTGTTAAGAGGAAACAACGGCAGATTGACGGTAGGGTGTGAGGCCTTGTCCTGGAGGCCTTGCTGGAAGCAGGCTTCCCTCCGGGAGGCGAACTCCAACAGTTCAGGTATTCGACACGGACAACACCTGAGGCAACACAGCTGCGATTCTATCTCGCACTTGCCTCAGGGACGAACCTACTCATGGTTAAGTTCAAAGTAGCGAAAAGACCCGAAGCTCAAATCGACTCGTCCACTGAACGAGCCTGAACCCCCGGTTCCGAGGCACATGGGAGAAGCCTGATAAATCAAGGTATCCTAAGCACTCAGACAGACCTCGGAGCGTCAAGGTGATTGACACACCCGGCACACTCGATAGCTTCTTGGTCAAGGCGTCGGTAGACATCAGGCCAAGACCTGAAATACCGGCGCCAGGAATCTGCACCCTACCAGCGTCGAAGCCCGGGTCAGTGCTACTCACGGAACGGGGTTCAGAGCATCCGCGGAGCCAAAGCTCAGCGGTTCTAAACCGAACCCCGATCCCGAGACACGTAAGAGTAGCCTGATAAATCAGGGTTCTTCCAGTACTGTCTCCAAAAGCGCACTGAGCATATAGTCAAACATAGCCTATAGCGCTATAAAAATATCCATACACATACATATATATACAGTCAAATCCCGATGAGTCGAATGCCGGTGTCTCGAATATTATGCATAACGCGGAGTACCTGTCGGTCCCGACCATTCCCTGTTATAGTTGTCATCATTTGATTTCCGGTTACACGAATTCGTCTCATAAATACACACGATGACTCGAGAAGAAAATTTGGTCTCATGAGATTAAAACAACAGCAATCTTGTATACATAAGCCGAAGTCAGTCAATGAGAAGTTGATTGGTGTAGCAAACTGATCCAATTAACAAACCAGTGCGGCTCACACCTTTCCGCCTTTGACGGGTGAGTTCAAAAGGCAGATTAGTCATTTTACGGAAATCACTGTGTGTTCTAATCAGACTGGAACTGATAAGGTGGCCCTATTAGTGATAGGGATATCATTAAATAAAAAAATGCTTAGGCGGAGGAATTAGGACTGGATCATCTTTTTTTCTACCCTCATAGACATACCTATGTCTGGAATACATCGATAAGTCGAATTTATTACTTGGTCCCCAGAGATTCGACTCATCGGGATTTGACTGTATATACATGCTCGGGTCGGCGGTTCGAACTCGCGGTTCAAAACACCTGGGAGTAGCCTGATAATGCAGGGTTCCCCTGGTGTACACGGGTAGACCTCGAGGTGCGTCGAGGTGATCGGTAGCTCCGTCACACTCAACAGCCTCTTGTCCAGGGCGTCGATAGACATCAGGCCGAGACCTGAGCTCACAGCGCTGGGGATCTGCTCCGTACCGGGGCCGAAGCCCAGGTTGGTGCTAGTCCGATCCCCGGTCCCGAGACACATGGGAGTAGCCTGGCAATGCAGGGTTCCCCTGGTGTACACAGGTAGACCTCGGAGCGTCGAGGTGATCGGCAGCTCCGTAGCTGCGTCACACTCAACAGCCTCCTGGCCTGGGCGTCGATAGACATCAGGCCGAGACCTGAGTTACCGGCGCCGGGGATCTGCGCCCTACCGGGGCCAAAGCCTGGGTCGGTGCTAGTCCACAGGTTCAAAGCGTCCCCGGAGCCAAAGCTCGGGTCTGATCGTCCCCAGGGGTTCAGGCCCTTCCCGGAGCCAGAGCTCGGGACCTCCCCCAAATGATGCGTCGTTGTAATCTCTACCCGTAGACCCGGTACCAATCTCCTCTCGGAATTGGGAAAATATGAGATGAGAGCGTGAACCATCGATTTCCGCTGCTGCTATAAGTAAGAAATCAATCGTTAGTGTAGCAACATTGTTTGTGGGGGAGGAGTAGACGTGGGGACGATAAAGGGATTTCCTTAGAAACCTTTCATCAAAAATTATCCCCCACCTGAAGCAGATTAGTGAAAAACATAAAATCTGCATGCCTGAAAGAATGCGCGTGAGGCGCAGAAACCCAGGAAAAACAACAACAAAACAAACACAACCTCAGCCACTATGAGCCACGTTGTGTGTAAACGTATGAAATGTGTATGTGTAACATAACACAACATAACGTAACAGGAATATTGATGCAAGGGCGCTTATTATGAACATCCTTGATTGTCGTGAGCGTCCTCGGGTAAACACCGGTGGCACACCTTATGACCATCCTGGGCTTAAACTGTAGCAAACAGAACCGCGCCAGTGTTACTAGCAGGAACTGTGAAGCAGCAAACATATAAACACAAGTAAATAGCAATAAATAAAACGCATGGGCGATATTTAAATGCTACAAGCTACAGCCATTTAAATACTAAACATACAATGCAAACCAGAAAAATGGCTAGCGCCCTTGCTTTTACATACTAGGGAGTAAAGTGGAGTGATAAAAAACGAACACTATCAAAATTACTCAACGACTTACCACAAATTCGCTGAAAAGAGAGAGAATTTAGGCAAGCCTACCATATAATATGCAAACATAACATGAACTCCCTACTACAAGCTACTAAGAACATGTAGCAAGGAAACCACGATCTCGCGGTCCGCCATTTAGTCTGCCACAAGGCTGGAAAACAGAGAACCCACAGCAAAGTTACACCAAAAGATGAATCAGAATATCAACATATGAAGTCCATCTAACGCCCGTGCGTAAAGAAAGGAACCATACATACAGATTGAGACTCTTTTACACTCATCGTATCGGTAGGAGAGCAAACTCGAAACGAACACCACGCACGTCTATTCAACAGAACGACAGCATGATCAGTGAGGTACGAGGTAGACGGCAAAATTTATCTGCTCTTGGCTGTAGGGGGTCTGGTGGGGCCCTGTAGGGGTGGTCTCAAGTTTTTTTGTTTTGTAAATATTTTATAAAAAAATATAGTTACAACTGTCGTAGGATTTAAAATTGACATTTAAATGCTTATATGTACCCCAAGGAGGACTTCTTCTGAAAAAGAAGAAATGCAATGCATCCATGACATTTTAATATTTGGCAACTAAACATTTGACTGACGCAGGTTTTGTTGCATCCCTCTCTACATCATATCCCTTCAACGAAGGTAGAGGAACACACAGGCAACAACAAAGTTGGCCAGTGAAACTACTACATTTGACAACAAACTTGACACGATTATTTACTATATAAATTGTATTTGTATGTTCTGCTATACAGTGTTCTCCCACTCTAAATTTGATTCAGTTACAAAATAACCAACAATACTTCAAACAACTATTGTTTTATCTGGAATAATATATTCTGGTATTCTGCTATTTCACTTGTAGTATTTACTATATATTAGTCTAAAATAATAACGATAACCTAAGCTGCCTGGTATAACTGACTGCGACTGCTATTTGTTGTTTTACGGATGGAACAATCTGAGTGAGTGAGTGAATACGCTTTTAGCAATATTCCAGCAATATCAGGGCAGGGGAACACCAGAAACAGGAATCAAACCCAGGTCTTCAGCGTTGTGCATGAACGCTTTAACCACAAGGATACCCCACCTCCCCTGGAACAATTTGACCAGTAAAGGCATCCTACTATACAGGAATATATATGACACGATTTTATTCTTTTGACCAAGGTCACGTTGTCAACTCACAAGGTTCCTGACGATCATCTCTGAACCCGTCCTGACTGCCAGATGGAGAGGGGTGAGGTTCTGCGAGTCTTGTACCCGGGAGTTGGCGTTGGCATGTACACTCAACAGGAACAACACACTCTCAATATCCGCCTTCTGGATGGCCGTGTGCAGGAAGTTACGACCACGATTGTCCACCTGCTCTGCTGCTGTAGGCTCTCGGTTCAGTATCTGCTGTGCTGCCTTGTTGTTCTTGGTTGTCATGGCAGCGGAGAATGGAGTGTGGCCATTCTTGTCCCTCAGTGTGAGATTGAGACTTGGGTGAGACAGGAGAAGGGAGATGATGACTGCATGTTGGTTCTCGATGGCGATGTGAACTGGACTCTTCCCTTCTGCATCCTGAAGCAACACAAACCTCTCTAATTGAGACACTTTGCAAGGAAGAAAACCTCCATTTTAAAGTGTCCAACATAAAAACCCATAACAAGTGCCACTACAGACTTCTACTGGTCCCTCATGAAACTGGCTACTACACATTATCAGAGCAAACTTACACAGTACTAATTTCAAGTTTACATAGTACTAATTTCAAGTAGCACAGTACTAATTTCAAGTTTACATAGTACTAATTTCAAGTTGCACAGTCCTAATTTCAAGTTTACATAGTACTAATTTCAAGTTGCACAGTACTAATTTCAAGTTTACATAGTACTAATTTCAAGTTGCACAGTACTAATTTCAAGTTTACATAGTACTAATTTCAAGCTAACACAGAACTAATTTCAAGCTTACACAGTACTAAATCACAAACAATAATTTCAGTACTTTGATGCTTTGAAACAAAATAGGTAAACTGATGTTCATACTTTTTACTAGCCATTCCAATAACCCCAATATGACAATAACTGGCCCTGAATAATTTACTGTCTGTGGGCATGGCTCCTCAACCCTGTTTTCAAAGCACAACTTCCATATTGACAAACTTGACAAACTTTATGCATTAAGCACTTATGACAGATTGAGTTTTGATTATTGTTGACTTGAACGTCAGCTTGACTTGGGAGAGAGCACAAAGTGTGACAGGTCTTACACATGGGCGTGTGTATGTTGGTAACACACCTAGAAATATAATCAGGGTGAATCTAGGGCTCAAACAGGTGACCATTATTGGTATATCCAAGGGATGTAACTCTGAATGAGGAACTGAAATGCCTTGACCACAAGGAAACACCTGAAGGATTCAAGTATTTATGAATACAATTCATGCCCTTTCTCCAGCCACCTCCTAAATAGGTACATCTTCTGACAGAAATCAGACTTCAAACAGATAACATAAGTCTTGGACAGCAATATCAAACAAACTCTATATTGCAGCTTCTAAGTTGGTACTTAATTGCTAAACTCTACATCTGCTATGCTAGAAAAAACATCATCCTATTCAAAAATATTCTGCCTATCATGTTATAATTACTGTCTGGCTGCCCATCCAAATGACAAATATAGTTGCAAGCAACGACGGGTCATGTACCTTTTAAGAAGTTCTGGAGAAGAAATAGTTCCCTCTTTGAAAGGATGTATCTCAGTTGTTCTTGGGTCTACGTTCAAAACAATTAGTGTTCTGGAATCACCAGACTTCATCTACCATACTGGCACTTTTTGTGCAGAATTTGCACAATGGTTACTGGACATCAGTTATGGAAAGTTTGGAATGTTTAGAGCTGATGGTTCGAGCTCAGCACATTTTGGGAGCAAACTACTCAGAAAACTGCTGAAAAACATGGCCAAAAACTGAAAACAAAAATAACTGCCAAACGGTACATTTTAGCGACTTGACCCGTCCAGGCAAAACTGTTGGGAATTCGATCGTGCATCTGTACAAGAGATTTGGAAGTGTTGGAACAATTAGTTGAATTAATTTTGAATTATCTCCCCTTTGCTATTGGGCCTAGAGCCCAGAGATTTTTAAGGGGAATATCTTCACCTCGGTGGGCATCTGTGTGATTTTTTGTAAGCGATTTGGAGCACTGGTTTAGGAGGTATGTTTGGCACAAAAATCAGCAAAATAATAATAAATAATAATAATAATAATCCAAACGATGACAATAGGTCTCTGGCCTAGAGGCATGGAGCCCTTATTATCTGTGCCTATTCTATATTTACTGCACCTCAGATTGTGTGACCTACCTGGCTGTTGACATCAGCATTGTGCTCCATGAGACATTGCACGACCCTCTCTAGACCCCAGGCACACGCTAAGTGCAGAGGACTCTGTCCATCTCTACAGCAACAAACATCACAAATATATCAACAGAGACATTGCACGACCCTCTCTAGACCCCAGGCACACGCTAAGTGCAGGGGACTCTATCCATCTCTACACCAACAAACATCACAAATATATCAACAGAGACAGTGGCACTTCATTTGCTGTTCAAGATGGTGACTTCAGTTAGTTAGTATCATTTTATAGTAACTTTAAGTAGCAAAATATGTTTGCATGAACTGTATGAAAAGATGGAGTAGATTGTCTCCCCTGTTGACCCTCACCTTGCCTCTTCCCCTCCATCCCCATTAGGACCTGCTCTCCTGGGACTGTTCTTATCACAACCACTGGAAAATAGCAGAACACATGGAGATGTCTGTAAAAAGATTGATTGTAGCTTGTTGATTTACATCTCAGACTGAATATGTCATTCAGCCAACAACTGACGGGAGAAGCATTAATGTACTGTATCTCCAACATGTCCAAGGAGAAACAAACTCTGCTCTATGTGACAAATTTTCATATCCATGGACAATCAAAACCTATATAGCTATGGAGTATCACACCCGGGTGAACAATATTCAAGCCACACCACAACAGCCTGTAAATAATCATATCTTGGCATGATTAACATCTGTCAGAGTGAATGAATGAGTGAGTTTAGTTTTACGCCGCTTTAAGCAATATTCCAGCAACATCACAGCGGTGTACACCATGGGCTTCACACTGTCAGAGCATGATGACACATGATCATGAAGTCACAGGCTGACCACCCAATGCCATCATATTCGTCTCTCACAACAAACCTGCCTGAGGTGCTTGGGAGATATTCTGGTCCAGAAGTAACTCACCTTCTGATGAGGAAACAGGCCACGGCCTCATTGTTCTCATCGATGGCCCGGTGCAGCAGAGTCTGGTAGCTGCCTGGTCCCGGTGACCACAGATTCATGTCACAGTCATGCTTCACCTGACCAAACACATATAGATATAGTCTTCACTAGAGCTGGAACAATACATCACGACAACATGCTTCACCCATACATTGTGGGCATCATGACAACATGCTTCACCCATACATCGTGGACATCATGACAACATGCTTCACCAATACATCGTGGGCATCATGACAACATGCTTCACCCATACATCGTGGGCATCATGACAACATGCTTCACCCATACATCGTGGGCATCATGACAACATGCTTCACCCATACATCGTGGGCATCATGACAACGTGCTTCACCCATACATGGTGGGCATCATGACAACGTGCTTCACCCATACATCGTGGGCATCATGACAACGTGCTTCACCCATACATCGTGGGCATCATGACAACATGCTTCACCCATACATCGTGGGCATCATGACAACATGCTTCACCCATACATCGTGGGCATCATGACAACATGCTTCACCAATACATTGTGGGCATCATGACAACATGCTTCACCCATACATCGTGGGCATCATGACAACATGCTTCACCCATACATCGTGGGCATCATGACAACATGCTTCACCCATACATCGTGGGCATCATGACAACATGCTTCACCCAGACATCGTGGGCATCATGACAACATGCTTCACCCAGACATCGTGGGCATCATGACAACATGCTTCACCCATACATCGTGGGCATCATGACAACATGCTTCACCCAGACATCGTGGGCTTCATGACAACATGCTTCACCCATACATCGTGGGCATCATGACAACATGCTTCACCCAGACATCGTGGGCATCATGACAACATGCTTCACCCATACATCGTGGGCATCATGACAACATGCTTCACCCATACATCGTGGGCATCATGACAACATGCTTCACCCATACATCGTGGGCATCATGACAACATGCTTCACCCATACATCGTGGGCATCATGACAACATGCTTCACCCATACATCGTGGGCATCATGACAACATGCTGAGTTGTATACTGTCTTCAAATCACATCTAGTCTTTATATTTTAAAATCATTGTGAATCAAATCACCTAGCCGTATATCCTACCATGACTTTTAGCCTTATCTGATACCAGGGATACTCAACATCATATTCCTTAGTACAATAAACCTGACAGAAACAAGCAAGAACAGTGTCACAATACTAATAATTACGACAAACCACTGATTGATTGCACTATCCAGGCTTTAGTGGTAAGGGTATCAACATACACAATATAGAACTGAAACACTGGCGTAATATGTGCCAGCCACATTTGTATTTATCAAAATTCGGTAAACACCGGAGAATGGAGTCATCTCATAGTTCAAGCATACTTATTGAATATGATGTTGACAGTAGAGATGCTACACAACTCACTCACTCACACATAGCCCATCAACTCACTGACTCACCAGTGTCTGTGCAATGTCTTCCTGTCCCGAGTCCAGAGCCTGCCACAGTGGACAATTGCCACTCTCGTCGACCACGTTCATGTTGGCTTTCTGTGTACACAGGACGTCGACAACCACTGGCAGATGTCTACTGATGGCGTGCTGAATTGGGGTCTGGTTGTCCGGAGACCTACCAACATACAGTGGAGATAATTCATATCAACTTGTCAAGGTCTCATTAACAATGGGATAGTGAAGTTAATTCTCATTAGATAAAAGACACAGCTGTTGTTTCCGTTTCATGGATGTGGCAATATATCTAAAGCAATGTTTATATTTTTGTCATATTAATAAACCTCAAATACTGTTTGACCAGTATTCTTCTTCCAGACAGACATGGTTCTTCCATCTGTAAGTGTTTGTGTTGTTTATTCCAGCTAAATTACAACAGCCTTAAAATGATCAAACCAGTGACTGAAAACATGAGCAGTCAGCACCAGGGCGTAGTCCTTAGACTGGATACCCCAACCTAATGAGGCCTAATGACCTGTCGATTTCCATACATTGTACAACATGTTCGGTGGTTGTGACGAATATTGACTGATCAATTTGCTACCTCTCACCTAAGGAGGCCTAAAGCGTGACTCACACGAGTCGGCATGTCGTAATGACCTGCCGATTTCCATACATTGTACAACATGTTTGATGGTTGTAATGAATATCGACTGATCAATTTGCTACCTCTCACCTAAGGAGGCCTAAAGCATGACTCACACGAGTCGGCATGTCGTAATGACCTGCCAATTTCCATACATTGTACAACATGTTCGGTGGTTGTAACGATTATCGACTGATCAATTTTGCTACCTCTCACCTAAGGAGGCCTAAAGCATGACTCACACGAGTCGGCATGTCGTAATGACCTGCCAATTTCCATACATTGTACATGTTCGATGGTTGTAACGAATATCGACTGATCAATTTGCTACCTCGATCTACCGATATTAGAGTGGATCTCATAATATCTCGCAGTATTTTGTCGTAGATGTTATTCTTTCATGTTTACGTACACAGCATCACATTTGTCAACACATTTACTCCAAGTGCTCACTTGTCAGTGACTTTTCCGGAAATGCCAAGCTGATTGTCGTAAGTGCAGCATTCCTCTTTTCTCTTTTGGAATAATCCCTGCTCGTAATATTCCATAGTGTTTCGTGACTCAGATCATGAGCAACAAAATGCTCCGTTTCCTCTCGTTGAAAAATCGAGGCATGGTTTCTTTGAAGCAGACAAAACCATGTTTCGCGCATGTACGTAAACATTTACCATGTGACACCCAAACGCAATTTGATTGGCTGCGCCACCATATCCAACTTGCCGAATGACTATAATAGGTTCTACACACTTGTGACACGATCGACGCGGTGTTCGAGCTGCTGATTTGTACTGTTTGTTGAATTTGATTAATCACTCACACGATACAACTCAATTCATCACATCGACTCATGCGAGTCCACCGTAAGGTTCTCATGCTCCTGAGAAACAAGAAAGACTATATCCCCAGTGTCAGGGTAAGAAACAATGTCTACTTTTCATCTGTATGAACAAATCTGCCTACTTTGATAACAATTTCTGAATGCTTAGGTCAGTTCGTTAACTATGCAGACGCCATTGGTTATATTATGTAGTCCTGGTAGCAGTTCTACTCACAGTGATTCTATGTCGGCTCTATGCTCTATAAGGAACAGGGCACTGACGGTGTCCTGCTTCTCTATACTCTGATGCAAGAGGGTCATCCCAGCCGAGTTCTTCTCATTAATGTTCGCTCCTGCATCTAACAGCTTGGCAGCCATGTTGTGGATGCCATTCCACAGTGACAGGCCCACCACGGTCTGGCCCAACGAGTCCTTGATGTTGAAGTTTGGCATCACTTGGAGACCACCACTGCTTTCAGAGACCTTCGCTAAAAACACACAAACTGAACATTTTCTCATCGACGAATCATTCAGCTCACCATTCCATGAAGTTGTCTTAGTGTTAAGACTGAATTTGGGCCATGTTCAGTTTGGGGATGAGAGAGTGAGTAAAAGGTCAAGTCTGGGGTCCACACAACAAGGTATGATACCACACATTCTGCTCAGTCACAGTAACCACCCAATCTTGTTTAGTCAACATTGGTTCACAATTGCTTAGATCGATGCTCATGCTGTTGATCACTGGACCAGACTCGATTATTTACAGACTGCCGCCATATAGCTGGAATATTGCCGAGTGTGGCATAAAACTAAACTCACTCACTTTAGTCAACACTTATACTTCACCCTAGTAATGTGACAGCCAGATTGTAGACCTTCTACATGTTTGTAAACAAATTCCTGATATTTACTTGATCTTAGATCAGACCTGCCAATTATGAGAAGATATCACGCATTCAAACAAGAACAGAAAATACAAAAACAGTTTAAGACTCATGTCTCATAAAGCGGTTCCTACCGAGGCTGACAAATTCATAGACAAATACATTATATTCTGACAACCAAGGTCATCCCTTGTTATCACTATGACAAGTGTTTGAGAAGTTCCAGCAGGTTGGATCCTAGTGGGGTTCAGTATGTAGAGTTACACACCCTTATAGTCCAGGAAGACTTGCACCACCATATTGTGGTTGTTAGCCAGAGCTAGATGGAGAGGAGTCTGTTGAGCGACAGGTGGTAGGTCATCATCTATACCAAGCATTGCCATGCTGACAGTCATGTCTCGAGGCTTTCGGGTCTGAGCATTTGGGTTAGCACCCTTTTGGAGTAGAACTCGGACCAGGTCGGTGAGACCAGACTGACAGGCTATGTGTAGAGGGGTCTCTCCCTGGTAGGAAACATAAAGTTAAACAGCTATGTAATACTTACTCACTACAACTCACTCACTCACAAGTAACAAACTCTTCCAGGGCATGGCACATATAGTTAAAGGGACAGTATGTCAATGGATCTGTATGTTATATCATGCATGAAATAATTTTCTAGTGTGATATCACAAAAATGATGTTGATCACTGGATTGTCTTGTCCAGACTGCCGCCATATAGCTGGAATATTGCCGAGTGTGGTGTAAAACTAAACTCACTCACTCACTGTCAAACTTCTGCATTTACTTACGAAAGTCTTACCTTATTATTGGCGTGACTGACGCTGGCTTTGTGTGTGGCCAGGAAAATCCCGGCAGCCTGGTTGCCATCCCGTGCTGCCAGGTGGAGCAGGCTGTCTCCGGAGTCGGGCTCGATGGCGTCAGGGGAACTCCCGGCCTTCAACAGCTGGGCAGCGAAACTCTCTACACCATACGCTTTTGCCACATCACCTGAGGGGTCTCGGGGCTAGAGGAACCAGAAAGTCCTTCAGATGACATCAGTTAGTTAGTCTTTCAGGCGTTTCGATCACATCGACTTGTTGGCCATTATTTGTTACATGACAAAGTACATGAACTTTAGGTTTCTTATGCGTGAAAACAGCTAAGAGTTATCAATTAGTGAAAATAGTAATATGGCGTTTCACGAAGCAACCTTTACTAAGGTTAACCTTAACTCCCATTCTTTAACATTGCACTAAGGTTACCTTAGTGACTTACGATCAACGTGCTTTGCGAAGGAGGCCCAGATTAATATCTTTGAGAGTAACCACTGATGAAATAGGTTTGTCAGAAACAAACAGTCAAGATAATTGCTGCTGTAATCTGCCACAACAACAGCGCAGACAGAAGTCCCACCTGCTGTAGAGCGAGCCAGAGAGCTGTGTGACCATCTGTGTTCTTGATCTCAAGATCTAGATTCCCATGCTTTAGGAGGACTTGAAATACTGGCACATTCTTGCAAAATATTGCACTGTGTAGGCATGTACTGAAAACAAACATGGATTACCTTCATTTATGTGTCTTGTCTTTTCAAAGGGTATGAGGAAGCCACATTGTAAAAACCTGTCAAAATCGTATCCTACCATGTGTTTCTTGTCCAAACATTACTTCCAGACCTTGACCATAATCACCAGAATGTCTTCAGATACAAAGGTCCATGCTTGTACAAGTACAGAACAGTAACCAGCAAGGAATGGTCCAAACAAGTTTCACAATTACCTCAGAGATGACCTTGACCTTTGATACGAGTGGTCACCAGCATTATATGTGCACACATAATACTTCATGCAAGCACATAAGTCAAAGTAACCATGCAACAGAAACTGACCAGGATATACCTATGATTCACATAAAAGCACCTGAGATCTTTAACTAATCATAGCCACAATACTCCCATGACCTTGACGTTTGAATTACAAGGGATAAAACAATTCCACAGAGCAATTTGGAAGACATCCCTGGAAGACAAAACATCTAATCCTGCTGATGACAATAACCTTTGTGAAGTAATAGTATTTGTACGCCTTAGAAAAATTACTAACAATGGCAGTCAAAAAATGTAATTTTTCAAATAAAATTGATATTTTTATACTTATCCTGACTCATGATCTTTTGACTTATCTCCCTTTCCTATGCGAATGGTAGTGGAACACTTGAATCCTTTGAAGCTCCCGAAGCGGACGTAAAAAATACACTCACCCACGAGTTACCTCCCTTTTGCCCTTTCCCGCGTAAACAGTCATGTGACCAGCCTTACTTGTCACTCTCTCCTGATTTTTATGCCCATGCACTTGGATCAGCTGTGAAATCCAAAGTGTTTCCAGCAGGGAGGTTGGGAGGGTTTCTCGTCATGAGTCAGGATAAGTATACAAATATCAATTTTACTTGAAAAATTACATATTTTTTCTTATCCTCACACATGATCTTCTGCTTATAGAATCTGACGGATTGGTGGTGGGACAGGCCACTTCCTGGATTCATCAGCTGTCCTTAGATAAGTCCTGTATCCCCCCATGGAAACTGCATAACAGCATTTTCGGGATACTATTCTTCCAACTTCCGTTATAACTCGGGGGGACCACTTTCTTGTCTTACTTCCATCTCAGACAAGTTGAATCATGTTGATTCATGTGGCTTCAGATATACTAGTATCTTCTTATTACTAGATATCTATAACAACCCATAGATTATGATAAGATCTTTATCATAGCCAAACACTGTGTGGTTAGCAAACACCGTGTCCGACTTCCAAAAGCAGCCCTCCATAATTGCTGATATAGAGAAAATTCCGTGCAGAGCCAATGTTGACGCCAGTGCTCTGACTTTGTGTGGGTTGGAAGCTCTAGGAGGTTCTAGTCCTGCTGCTTTATAGGCTCTCAATATGACGGCTCTCATCCAGAACGATATTGTCGTTCTTGAGACTTCTGCTGATGTCTCTGTAGATAACGGGATGAACAGGCGCTTGAATTTTCGTCTCCTTGTTTTAGTCTTTTGAAGATATATCTTCAGGGCTCTGACCGGACACAAGGATAGGTCCTGCATATCCTCTGGTCCGAGGATTGTGGATAGCACTGGTACGTGGAACTGTCTATCTGGTTGACCAGGTAGTTGGTTCTTGGCAATAAAGTTCTCTAAGTCCTACATGTACTGCAGCTTGTTGCCCCGTGTCGAATCTAGTTCGACCAAGTCTCTGATATTCAAGCTGCCGGGGTTAGTGCAAGCAGGAACAGAGTCTTCTGTGTCAGCAGCTCGAAGGTAGTCTGATCTAGAGGTTCGTAGGCATCACTCATGAGATGACGTAGAATTACATTCAGATCCCAGGCCGAAGCTCTGAATTTCTTTTGCTGGTCCTCCAGTTTAAAAGATCTCGGCAGAGCAAGTAATTCTTGTACTTTTATCAACTTGATGCCTGTCTTCATGGTGATCACTGTACTGATGGCAGCGAGGTACATGGATAATGTCGAACCTTTCAGATGTCTAGTATGTCTAAGATGACATAGGTATTCCGCCACTTGAGGATGAGTAGCTTTCATAGCAATGAAGCCTTTCCGCCTTGCATAAGTCTCAAACTTCAGCCACTTGTCATCATACAGGTTATGAGTAGATCTGCGTAACGCTAACGTTACATTACTGCCTTGGCTGCTCTGGCGGAGTATCCTCTCTTCTTCAAACATATTTTGATACTGTCCACACGTGTAGCTGGAACAGTACAGGGTTCCCATGGACTTGCTTGGTGTGCGGATGTATGAGTAGGTTCAGCCAATCTTGTAACTTGATTGTTGGACTTCCAAGATCCTCTATTAGGTCTAGGAACCATACTGTCGCTGGCCAATAGGGCGTGACCAAAGTCAGTTGTAGCGCTTGTATCTGTTTGATCTTCAACAGTACTTTCGGTAGTAATATCAGAGGTGGAAACGCGTGAGCGTTTAGTCCTTCCCATGATATGCTCAGTGCATCTGTGCCCAGGCTTGAGGATCTTGAACTGGTGAGACAAACGTCTGTAGTTGTTTGTTAAACCTCGTAGCAAACAACCTCATGGTCTATGCAAGGGGAACCTATTTCCCTTATGATGAGCCGGAATTCTTCTGGATGGAGCATCCATTCCGTAGGTGACGGGTGCAGTGGTCGGGAGGGAGCATCTGCAAGCATGTTCTTGGTTCCGGGTATGTGACACACCTTTATCCAGATGTTTGCTTCTTCCGTGATGTCAAGCAACTGGAATGTGAGCTGTAGAAGGCTTGGAGACCTTGTAGATCCTTGCCGATTTATGGAGAATGCCACTGTACAGTTGTCCGTGTGGACCATCAGCATTCTGTTGATTAGCGAGCTCGACCATAGTTGTAAGGCGTTCATCACGGCTTTCATCTCCAACAGATTGATGTGAAAATGCTGCTCTATTTTGGACCACTTCCCTGATGCAATTTGATTGTTGCAGATACTTTCTTGATTCCGGGTGTATGGGGATGTGTAGATATGCATCCTGAAGGTCTATGCTGGCCATGTAATCTGCTGTATGGACGAGCAGTCTGAGTTGAGGTAGGTGGATCATTCATTCTGAGGATAAACGGAGGTGTGGCCTTGAGCTGCATTCTGTATCCTTCTCGCAGTACTTGGGAGACGTAGTCGTCCTCTAGTATTCCCCAATTTTTCCAGTACCTTTGTAGACGTCCACCCACTGTTGATGGTTTTACAGGAACCTGAGCCTTCTCTTCGCGAACCTTTGTCACGTGATGATTGACTTCACGAACGTCTGTGAGAGATATGAGATCACGATCTAGAGCGGCTTGGTGTAGGAGATGGATCCTTAGGTGTTATCAAACGTTGAGGGTTCGCAGATGTTGAAGAGTGAGTAGGCTTCTCGTGTCTTCTATCCTCCTCCAAGATGACAGAGTCGTCAGACTGTGAAGACCTTCACAAAGGTGTACGTTCGCCAACGTAGTATTGAGACGCAGATCTATGAGGAGTTGGTTCGCGCAGGTCAGTGGGTTTGCACACGTCAGCAGATGAGAGGTTCCGTCGAGCCTTCGCCTCTTACTCGAACCTACGTTTCATCATGGCCATCATTCTCTTCCCACAGAGGTTACTTGTCATTTCTTCCTACGAACCTCTGTTCTAATACAGCCATATTTCCCGGTTCTCGTAAAATCCCCTAGCGGCAAAATATCGCTAAACGAATTATCTCCCTTCTTTCTATCCAATCAGAACACGTGTCACATCGACTTAGATTCAACTTGACTAACACAAGCAAATGTGGGGCCACAAATATCCCCCATCTGCCGGGGACTTGTGTTAATGGCTAGCTTGTCCGTTGTCAACGAGGGCGATGGAGACGCCACTGATCCGCCATAACATGACTGAGTTCTGTCTAGAAGAAACGTTTCCGCATCGCGCAGGGGAAGAGGTTTAGCTTTCTCGAAGCATACGGAAATTACCGAGGCCTTGTGAATGATCACTTTTGAAACAACGTCGCTGATTGCACAACTAAATCTGATTGTCTCCAATCACCAGTCTTGAACGCTCACACCATGAAAGGGCCGTATTAGAACAGAGGTTACGTAGGAAGATATGACAGGAGTAACCTCTGTGGGAAGAGAATGCATGGCCATCAACTGGTTGGTGAGCTGCCTCATAAATTCACCTGGATCAAGTTCTGCGTTGATTGAAGCTGCTGCGGTGTAGAAGAAGCGTTCGCGAACGCTGATGAGTTGTGTGCCTCAACTTCACTCTGTTGAGAAGTTGGTGGTAGTTCGTCAAACAGCTGGCCTGCTGTTGTAGTTGCAGGAGACAATCTAGTAGTCGTGGAAGTCGATTGAGTCGCCGATCTAGTAGGTACTTCAGGTAGAAGTAACGGGGGATCATCAAAAACGTCTACTTCGTGAGGAGGTATAATCTCTTCATTGAAGGATTTCTGATGCGTTGACTTACTAGGCCACGTAGATTTAACCTCCGATCTGGTAACAGATGCTTTCTTCTGCAACGTAGAAGAAGACAACGTCTTTTTCTTACTTTGAGCCGGTGTCAACTGCGGTGTAGCCGATCTCTTCTTCGCCCCCGTACCAGACGACTGCCCCTGCAACGTACTCAACATAGCACCAGTATTATGAATTTCAGCAGTAGTAAGCAACATACGGTTTGCAGGCTGATCTCCTGATTTATCAGCCATGACTTGTGATGACTTCCTCACCCGATCCATGGCACGACTATAGATATACGACAAATATTGATTAAAGTGTAGATTTGATAAATCAACACAATAAGTACAACGCAAGCTGGAAGAACATGGTTTGATGCACGAATGGCATTGGGGGTGAGGATCAGCCCTGATAACCTGTGCCTGCAAACACTACAAGATTTCATGAAATGTAAACAAGTTACATTACGATGAAATGATGACAGAAATACAAATAATTTTTACAAATTTTGTACATATAATACAAAGTAATTATAGCCAAATCCATACAAAGCGTAATTTTGAAGAATAGGATCTAAAATAAAAGGATATAATGCCGTATATAGGACTCCAGTGCTCGCCCAACCATCCGCTTGGGCGAAAAGGGAGAGAGTGACTGTTGACACGGGAAAGGGCAAAAGGGAGGTAATTCGTGGGTGAGTGTATTTTTACGTCCACTTCGGGAACTTCAAAGGATTCAAGTGTTCCACTACCATTCGCATAGGAAAGGGAGATAAGCAGAAGATCATGAGTCAGGATAAGAAAAAATTATGCAAATAAGCTAAATTAACAATCACAGATAGCAAACCATAATGGTGGATCTTCATCCACGGATACAATCTATATAATGTATGACAGTTTTAACCTATCTCAGAGTCAACATTGTGAAGTCGATATGAAAGACCAAGCTTCAATAACATGCACAGTCTCGGTTCACAAAAGAAAAGATCCTTATCCATGTACATTTATATTAAACTTTCATGCCAATCAGGCCAATATTGCAGTTTGAAACTGTTTTGTCCAACAAGTTCAATGAGCAGAACAAACATGTATTCAATTTGCACTTCACATTTATGAGGATTAGAACGTGCACAAATTCATGTATTAAATGACACTTTACACGTTTAATTCTAATTTCTATAAATGAGTATCTGACCTCCCTGCTGTGTCCTGCGAGCTGACGTCTGCCCCGTTGTCCAGCAACATCTGAGCAATACGGGCCATGCCGGCCATGGTGTCGGGGCTGGTCACGTCAGGGTTGAAGCAGGCCGTCATGTGGAGAGGGGTCTCCTTGTCTAGGTGGGTTGTCAGGTTCACGTCAGCGCTGTTCTGGATTAAGAACCTCGCAGAAAACTCATCACCTAAATTTTGGAAACAAAAAATATTCTAAAATATGAAAAGTATTATGAAATTTGTTATCAACACTGTAGGTTTTAATAATATAGACAAACTTTATTGATAACAACTTCTTTATTTTGTGAATGTGACGTTTCGGAACAGGTTGTTGTACCGCTCCTGCCTTATAATGGTACAAGAACTCTGCACGAAATGTCGCTCACTACCCAACTTCTCAAATGCCACTCAAAAGACATTACTGTAGTTTTTCTCACTCCAAATACACATAAATGCAAAATTGTACAAGTGTTTGAGAGGTTAAACAATAAGAAGACTATATGCCCTGCATTGAACGCAATTTGACCACATAATTTCATGTAGTCATAACATTATTTCCATCAAGATCATGAAATGTTACTGATTTCATATTTCTAACATTGAGATATGAGATACCTCTTTTGATTGCTTTGTGAAGCAGACATTTTCCAGAGTTATCTTTCTTGTTGACATCTGCTTTGTGTCCGACCAGCGTCTGGGCAATCCCTTCCTGCTTCGTCTGCAGTGCGAGGTCTAACGACACATCCCCTCGATTGTCTACTTCGTTCAGCTTGACGGACAGCTGGCAAGGACAGAGCAGACGTGTTGTATCCACAGGGAAAATCAAATTCCCCTGCTTCACATTGTATACAGTCAGTGCATATAAGAGCAGGCATTATTTAAGCTGTATCACCACATCCTGTAACCCATCAGTGAGTGAGTTTAGTTTTATGCCGCACTCAGCAATATTTCAGCTATATGGTGGCGGTCTGTAAATAATCGAGTCTGGACCAGACAATCCAGTGATCAACAGCATGAGCATCGATCTGCGCAAATGGGAACCAATGTGTCAACCAAAACAGCCAGCCAGACCATCCAATCCCGTTAGTCGCCTCTTACGACAAGCATGGGTTACTAGAGATCAATATTCTAACCCGGACCTTCACAGGTCTGTAACTCATCAAGTCTGGCTAAAGCAAACCAGTGGTTGATAGCATAAGCAACAATTCACGCCATCATGGAACAATGACACAATACTAGGTCACATGGTACAAACACGTAATCATCACTGTGTCAGTTCCAGTGACAATAATTTAAATACACGCTTGAAATTATCATAAGGTTACATTTTCACACAATAAATAAATGACCGACATGACCAGGCTGGTATCAGTGAGGAAGAACTAATTCACTAATTTATACAATTTTTACTCAAGGTACGAGGATATAAAACCCTGTATACCCAACATCAGCTGTTTAAGGTTCATATCCATTTTATTGTTACTAATTTCAAATTCAGGAGTTGGTCTATCTGGTACAAAGCAACAGAAACTGCTTGCACATGTGAATATTGTGCTAACCTGGGCATCATATTCTATAAGATACAGAAAGACAACATCTTCTCGCTGTGCTCGGATGGCCGTGTGAAGAGGATACTCCGTCTTCGTCTTGAACATCTTATACAGCAGTGCGGCAGGCATGTGAACGAAATCTTCACTTGTGAAGTCATTCTAAAAACAAGACATTTAATAGTGAGTGAGTGAGTGAGTGAGTGAGTGAGTGAGTGAGGTTAGGTTTACGCCACACTCAGTAATATTTCAGCTATATGGTGGCAGTCTGTAAACAATTGAGTCTGAACCAGACGATCCAGTGATCAACGGCATCGATCTACGCAAATGGGAACAGATGACATGTGTCAACCAAGTCAGCAAGCCTGACCACCCAATCTCGTTAGTCACTTCTTACGACAAGCATAGGTTACTGAAGATACATTCTAACCCAGATTTTCATGGGTCAAACATTAAATAGATGCAACAAGAAGAATGACCATGATATGGTAAAACCAATCTTAGCATCTGTCACAATAGCTCTATGCAGTAAGTAGCATCACCATCTCAATGAGCAGTGGCATCCCACAGAATATTACACTCAAACCAAGACTCTTGTTGTCTAACTGTCCAGAGTATGTATCCTAATACAACCTCAAGTATCTGTTTTGTTTCTTTGTAGCTTAAAGTCGCACTCTGTAATGTTTCGTATATACGGCGATGGTTTGTAAATAATCGAGTCTGGAACAGACAATCCAGAGATCAATAACATGAGCATCCATCTACGCAATTTGGAAACGTGTGTCAATCAGGGATGGCAACAGGAACATCAATTTTCAGCTGAAAACTTAATACTGTGTCATCAAATTTAACCAAACCTGAAGAGGTTTTAAATTCTTTGAAGAGAGTCGTCCTTGGGGTACATATTATGCATTTTCCGAGCTGAAAATGTCCTGTGACAGTTGTATCAATGTTTTTGAATAAAAATATTGTACAATAAATAAAAATCTTTTTATTTATTATACGGCCCCCACCTCATGGAGTTACCTCCCGTTACGCATGCGCACCAACTGGGTAAGCACCTAGGCCCGTATCATCATTCCTTCTGCTGAATAAATCAGTGAACAGAATTGCGGGGAGGCGGGAGGCCCTACCCCAAGGACGACTCTCTTCAAAGAATTTAAAACCTCTTCAGGTTTGGTTAATTCTTTTTCATAGAGATCGTCCTTGGGGTACATATTATGCATAAACACAGACTCCCAAAGACCGGAGGTCCAAGGGGACCCCCCTGGTGAGATTCACGACATCGGTCCACCACTGAAGGTGAGGAGACAACCACCCGGGGACTGTGAGACTCCGCTCCAGGTCCTCTGAGTGAGCCCACAGACTCGCCAAAGCTTGCTGTATAGGGCGCATCCTCAACCGCGCCTGCCACACTACAGAGATCGTCGCCGCCATATGGCCCAGTAGACGGAGCCAAGTCCGTGCTGGTGCCTGGGGCTGGGAGAGGAACCAAGACACCATCTCACGTACTCTGGTGACCCGGTCGGGCGACAAGGAAACTAGATCCTTGTGTTTGGAACCTCACCCCGAGAAAAACCAAGTCCTGGGTGGGTACCAGGTCGCATTTCTTGAGGTTGATGATCCACCCCAGTCGAACTAGAATGTCTATCACCTTGTGAGTAGAATCTAGGCTCGCTGGCTGTGTTAGTGCACCGAGCAACCAGTCGTCGAGGTAAGGGTAACAACGCCTTACCTCGAGGGTAGCCGGGACTAACATGAGCTTGGTGAACACCCTGGGGGCAGTGGATATGCCGAAGGGGAGCACCGTGAACTGGTAATGCATCCCGTCGTAAGAGAACCGAAGGTACTGCTTGAACGATGGATGTATGGGCACATGCAGATACGCATCCTTGAGGTCGATTGACGTGAGCCAATCGCCGGGCTGAACAGAGGAGATCACCGAGCGCAGTGTCTCCATCTTGAAGGATGGAACTTCGAACATGCGATTCAACCCCTTGAGGTTGAGAATGGGACGGAACCCGTCTTTCTTCGGAACGAGGAAGTACGTGGAGTAAAATCCCGCCTGTTCCTCGCCCGGTGGTATGCGCTCGATAGCGGACTTGTCCAGCAAAGCCTGGACTTCGTCGCGCAGTATGTCCGCCCTTGCCTGACATGATGGCACCGGAGTGCGGCGTATGCCGGTGAAGTCTGGCGGACCTCGCTTCCACAGTGATAAATGGCCGACACCGACGGTGGACAGCACCCAAGGGTTGCTGGTAGCCTTCTCCCACTCCGGCAGGAATAGAGAGAGGCGGCCTCCCACTGGGACGTTGGGTAAGAGCGCGTGAGTGGTCCCGAGTAGCGGAGCTGACTGGGAGTGACACACGTCTTGTGCTACAGCCTGATGGGTTAACGGGAGGTCGGGGCAGACCTCCCGCGCCCCCGAAAAGGCTGGGAGCCAGTCGAAGAGGACTGCTCCTTGCCCTTACCCTTGGCGGGACGGCTCCTCCGCCTACCCCTGCCTAGCGGCCGGAGCCAGCCAGCAGACTCGGGTGTAGGCTGCACCCCGGCGGAGGAAGCCGGAACGGGAGCGCGGGGGCGAGAAGCCCTTGAAGGAGAAGCCCTTGAGTCCTTGAAGGAGGTAGCTGCAGCGGCAGCCTCCCGGATGACCTGCTGTGCCCCAGGAAACAGCGTCGCTCCCAGACGGTAGGGGAGAGCCAGCAAGGTCTGCTGTGTAGCCGCCGAGTACCGAGACGTTGACAGCCACAGCTTGCGCATCCCCATGACTGCGCACATCACCGTCGACGCGGCCGACCGCAAGGAGTCGCGAGCGAGGTGGGCCTGCACTTTGGAAAGTTGACGGAGGAGAACAACATGCTGAGACACGTCTCCAGCGTGCCCCTCCGCCTCCAGGGCCGACCTCTGAATCGAGGAGAGGTAGGCCTCGTCGACCACCACCCGCACCTGCTGCATAGCGTTCCGGTAAACCTCCTCGTAGGTCCGGTAAGCATGTCGCAGGGGGGCGCCCGCGAGGGCAAAAGGTGGTGTCAAACGCCCTTGCCTGGCAGCCGGAGCTGCTCCGGAGGAAGCCGAGCCTCCCCCTAAGGCGACCGAAGTGAAGACACATTCGTCGACCATTGGCACAGCGAACAGGGAATCTTCCCCCAGCTGGTACCTCCGGACAAGCTCTGGCAAGTCAAAACGGAGGCGTGACCCAGACAGGAGGGGATCGACCACATCCTGCACCAAGGACGGCAGAATGCGGAGCAGCGTCTGCATAGGCTGCCTAGGGGCAAACGCCTCGCCTGGCAAGCGGAACTCAGTCGAGTCCGAACGGCTGGTAGGCACCGCGGCCTGGGGAAGGAACTCGGCAATGCGCTGCCAGACTTCCCTCAGAGCCGACGAAAAACGGAAGGCACCCTCCTGCTCCTCAACCTCCCCAGTGTCCATGGACTCGTCGCCCGAGCCCGAGTCCGAGGCTGGGTCTCCTCGCGAAGAGGACCCGAACCCCGACCCGGTGGGCGGCCTAGCACCAGTCACAGAGGAGAGGGAAGAACAGACAGAGCGCCCCGCGTCAGCACCTGCCATCACGCACGAACCCCGGTCCCGAGACGCTAGAGGCAGACCAGGCAGAACTGGTGCCTCCGCTCTCATGGGGCGGGACGGCGCAGGGACCGGAACCCCAGGAATCCTCAACGGACCCTGCGCCAACTCCAAGAAGGGGACTGGGAGCGAAGCCTCCCCCTCCAGGGCAGCCGAGGCGTCCAGACCCGAAGCCAGAGGCAACGGATCGACAGACGCCTCCAGGCCGAGGGATCGAGCCGGGCTCGGCGATCCCACCCCCAGACTCTCCGTCCCCTGCTCCAAGTGGGCGAGGAACTCCTGGCGGAGACCTCCAACCGACTCGTGAACAAGGGACTCCACCGAGTCCATGTGCTGCTGGAATAACTGAGTAATCAGAGACATATCAAATCCGCTCCTAGGAGCAGTGGAAGGAGACTGACTGCGCGATCTAGCCTTTCTGCCTTTACTTTTAGGCTTTTTTGCTTTGGACGGGGGGACCTGGGTCAATTCCCCTCATGCCTCACGCATCTCCCTATAGAATAGGAAGTCGGCCGCCCGTCTCTTCTGGGCCCGGGGGAAGAAACCCATACAGATATCGCAAGTGTCCGGGGTATGGCCGGTTTTCTCAAGGCACACAATACACTTATCATGGCGGTCGGCCCGGGGGATACTTTGCCCGCAGACCGAACATGAAGAAAATGCCTGAAAGCAAACACGCAAGCATGTAGCTAACAGCGGACCAGCAGCCTAAGATACACGTAGAAAACATTGAAAAATACATGAATGCGACCACGGGAAGAAATAGTTGGTTCAAACGCAATATTACAACCACGTGGCACGCTAAACTTCCCGCCATGGAATAGCAGCACGTGCGTAAACCACGGGAAAGTGCTAGCGTAAAATAATTAATACAAAGTCACAATTATGAAACAACCGACCGCAAAGCGTTACTGTTCCTTTCAAGGACAAAATAAAGACCATACATACAGGTGGTGGCGTCTCAGACATTATTCTCTTAAGTTCACAAGAGTACAGCTCTGCTCTACACATGCGTCTTTACTAGGCAGTGACAGCAGAAGGAATGATGATACGGGCCTAGGTGCTTACCCAGTTGGTGTGCATGCTCAACGGGAGGTAACTCCACGAGGTGGGGGCCGTATAATAAATAAAAAGATTTTTATTTATTGTACAATATTTTTATTCAAAAACATTGATACAACTGTCACAGGACATTTTCAGCTCGGAAAATGCATAATATGTACCCCAAGGACGATCTCTATGAAAAAGAATGGGGGGGTTGAGGGTGATTCAACAGATTTACACGATTCACAGAATATATCAATTTGAAACAAAATCGACGGAAATCCACGGATCCACGAATAATTGCCATCCCTGGTCAATCAAGTCAGCAAGCCTGACCACCCAATCCTGTTAGCCGCCTCTAACAACCAATTCTAACTCTGATCTTCATGGGTCCTATAGTATTCTATACCAAGAATGATCAAATATACAAATATGAAGCAGAACCTGCTGTTCCTGTAAAACATGACATTAAATATCTGCGTACCCAGTGGTTTGAGATGAGTTCCGAGCAGTGTTTCTTCAACACCTCTGCCCCCATCTCCTCAGCTGTTTGGTAGAACTTGATGCAGTTCTTCATATTCACAAATGACATCAAGCCATTCTCACACCTGTAACATAATGAAATAACATAAAACACAAACATCCCCACTGGCATCAGCATCAGCATCAGCAGACAGGGCAGATACTCAGGGTCATATGGTGATGGGCATTTCATTCATATCTATGTGCAGTGGAATACTGTCAATATTTAGCTATGTACTCTTCGTGTTCATATTGGTGACAGACAGTTGGTACATTTCCAAACAATCAAATGCATTTAACTACAGGTGATCTGAAAATTGTGAAACAAGACTCAAAGCATCCTGAAGTTCATGCCTCCATGACAACATGATTACAGAGCTGGTGATAAAAATGGAGCAATATGACTTTTTTTTTTTAAAAAGAAAAGAAAAAAAGAGCGTACAAAAATCTATTTTTTCAAGTAAAATTGATATTTAATACTTATCCTGACTCATGATCTTTTGCTTATCTCCCTTTCCTATGCGAATGGTAGTGAAACATGTGAATCCTTTGAAGTTCCCAAAGCGGGCATAAAAGTACACTTATAGAAGATTGCTTATAGAATCCTTCGGATTGGTGGTGGGTCAAGCCACTTCCTAGATTCATCAGCTGTCCTTAGATACGTCCTGTATCCCCCCATGGGAACTGCGTAACATCATTTCCGAGATCCTATTCTTCCAACTTCCGTTATAACTCGGGGGGACCACTTTTTTGTCTTGCGACCCCTTAATGTACAGGTAAGATCTTTACCCGTACTGTGCGCATGGACTTTCAAACTACTACTATTCCTTAGTAAAAGTTATCAACAAGTCAACGTGATAAAGGGTGAGATTTTCCAACTCAGTGCCTTTGTGGAGCCGTTAGTTGCTGTGCTAGAACGAGAGGCCCAAATTGTAGAATACCGGAGACGTCTTCGGTGGTTATGTCTCAGAGGTAATGGTTGGCAAACACCGTATCCGACTTCCAAAAGCAGCCCTCCATAATTGCTGATATAGAGCAATTTTCATGCAGAGCCAATGTTGATGCCAGTGCTCTGACTTCATGTGGGTTCGAAGCTCTTTGAGGTTCTAGTCCTGCTGCTTTAAAGGCTCTCAATATGACGGCTCTCATCCAGAACGATATTGTCGTTATTGAGACTTCTGCTGATGTCTCTGTAGATAACAGGATGAACAGGCTCTTGAGTTTTCGTCTCCTTGTTTTAGTCTTTTGAAGATATATCTTCAGGGCTCTGACTGGACACCAGGATAAGTCCTGCGTATCCTCTGGTCCGAGGATTGTGGATAGCGCTGGTACGTGGAACTGTCTTTATTCTTGGCAATAAAGTCCCATCTGAGTCCTAGATGTACTGCAGCATGTTGCCCCGTGTCGAATCTAGTTCAACCAAAGTCCAGCGCATGTATCTCTGATATTCAAGCTGCCGTGGCTAGTGCAAGCAGGAACAGAGTCTTCTGTGTAAGCAGCTTGAAGGTAATCTGATCTAGAGGATCGTAGGCATCACTCATGAGATGACGTAGAATTACATTCAGATCCCAGGCCGGAGCTCTGAATTTTCTTTTGCTGGTCCTCCAGTTTAAAAGATCTTGGCAGAGCAAGTAATTCTTGTACTTTAGTCAACTTGATGCCTGTCTTCATGGTGATTACTGTACTGATGGCAGCGAGGTACGTGGATAATGTCGAATCTTTCAGATGTCTAGTATGTCTAAGATGACATAGGTATTCCGCCACTTGAGGATGAGTAGCTTTCATAGCAATGAAGCCTTTCCGCCTTGCATAAGTCTCAAACTTCTGCCACTTGTCATCATACAGGTTACGAGTGGATCTGCGTAACGCTAAGGTTACTGCCTTGGCTGCTCTGGCGGAGTATCCTATTTTCTTCAAACATGTTTTGATATGGTCCACACATGTACCTGGAACAGTACAGGGTTCCTGTGGACTTGCTTGGTGTGCGGATGTATGAGTAGGTTCGGCCATTCTGGTAACTTGATTGTTGGACTTCCGAGAACCTCTATTAGGTCTAGGAACCATACTCTCGCTGGCCAATAGGGCGTGACCAAAGTCAGCTGTAACGCCTGCGTCTGTTTGATCTTCAACATTACTTTCGGTAGTAATATCGGGGGTGGAAACGCGTAAGCGTTTAGTCCTTCCCATGATATGCTCAGTGCATCTGTTGCCCAGGCTTGAGGATCTTGAACTGGTGAGACAAACGTCTGTAGTTGTTTGTTGAACCTCGTGGCAAAAAGTTCTACGCATGGGGATCCTATTTCCCTTATGATGAGCCGGAATTCTTCTGAATGGAGCGTCCATTCCGTAGGTGACGGGTGCAGTGGTCAGGAGAGAGCGTCTGCAAGCACGTTCTTGGCTCCGGGTATGTGACATGCCTTTATCCAGATGTTTGCTTCCTCCGTGATGTCAAACAACTGGAATGTGAGCTGTAGAAGGCTTGGAGACCTTGTAGATTCTTGCCGATTTATGGAGAATGCCACTGTACAGTTGTCCGTGTGGACCATCAGCATTCTGTTGATCAGCGAGCTCGACCATAGTTGTAAGGCGTTAATCACGGCTTTCATCTCCAGCAGATTGATGTGAAAATGCTGCTCTGTTTTGGACCACTTCCCTGATGCAACTTGATTGTTGAGATGTGCACCCCAGCCTTGTAACGAAGCATCTACGTAGAGATGTGTGTCGAAGGCCGGCTCTTGTAAATAGGTCCCTCCACAAACGACCAGTGGGTCCACCAAGGTAGGTACCTCTTGAGATTGTCTGGCAGCAAGATAGGGTCGACGCTGTCCAGATGTTTTGTCAGGAACCGTTGCAGCGGGCCTTAGTTGTAACCTTCCTGTCCGAGTCAAGTCCTGCGCCGAGGTTAGTAGACCGACTAGACATTGCCATGTTCATAGTGTTAATGGAGAGATGACTGCTTGTGGAATCATGGATTGTATCTTGACCCAATGATCTTCTGGGACCACAATTCGATTCTGTGTTGTGATAATTCTTATTCCCAGTAATTGAAGATCTTGTTTGATTCTAACTCTAACTTCATCAGGTTCACTAGCCATCCTAGTTGCGTGAGCAACTTAATTGTGAAGTTCAGCTGCTGTCTGAGTTGATTGGCACTTTGAAGAACCTGTATGCCATCGTCCAGATAACCGGCACTGCATAGACCTTGATGATGCAGATATAACCATAGAGCCGACGATATTCCAAACGGTAGGACGTTCCATTGGAAGTAGTTCTACGCCGCTCATATAAACCTCTTGAATAAGGGTATTGTGGATAATATAAGCTAGCATGACGAAGGAGGCTGTCGAGACGTATGTCTGTATGGATCTTGAAGAATACCGATGTTGAATCTAGCTGAGTGACAAGTGTTAGTAATATCATCTGCACTTCCGTTCAAGGAATCTTGAAGGCGTTGTTAACCTGAAGCCCTTTACGAAGGTCGCCTTGAGGTTCTCCAGTGCTTGAGATATCGGCTTCATAGGTGATATCATTTTGGAGTCGAAGTCATCAGCGTATATGCAGTACCTCTCTGTTGGGTTGGAGTGAGTGAGTGAACGACAATATCCGCAGGCTATCTGCTACCCAGGATAAAACCGCTGCATCCGTGTAGGTGAAGGGATTCCTCTCATCAAGTAGGTTGTTTTAATCATTGCTTCGTTTTATTCAGCCGTATGGTAATAGAGTCAACGTCATCATCCTGCCTGTTGATTTAAGGGTTTGTTAACCCTAGGGTACGCGAACCCTGTAGATGACTGCATTGCTGTTATCTGCCTGCAGATCTGAGAGTTCTCGAACCTTGTAGATGTCTGCAGCTTTCTCAAAACCTGGGTGTAGGTTAGAAGGTACCTTGGATATAGGTTCAATCAGAGGAATAGTCACCGAGTCAAAGTCGCCGTTGCACATCTTATAGGTGTAGACTTCATCCACATCCTTATAAGGAGACTCCAAGTTCAATCCATTGGCTATCCAAGCTGTAACCTCTGAGTGCGGGAAGACGAAGTCAGCTTGTGCATCAGATATATCTCGGTCCGTAGAACTATGCCTCCGCGAATCATCCTTCTGCGAACATGTATCCCTAGAGTCATCCCTTCTCGTACCTCGATCTCTTGCATCAACCTTCCGCGAACCTCTATCTCTAGATTCCTCCCTTCGCAAACGTCTATCTTGTGAGGCCTCCCTTTGCGAACCTCTGTCTCTAGATACAACTCTTCGCGAACCTCTGTCTCGTGAATCCTCTCTTCGCGAACCTCTCTATCTCGAGATCCATCCCGACAAGTTGAATCCTGCCTCCGCAAACCTGGTTCTCGCAAATGTCTGTGAGAGATGTGTGATCTCAATCTAAAGGGGCTTGGTGTTGGAGATGAATCCTTAGGTGTTCTCGTGTGAGTAGACTTCTCATGCCTTCTATCCTCCTCCATGATGACAGAGTCGTCAGACTGTGGAGACCTTCACAAAGGTGTATGTTCGCCAACGTAGTCTTGTGACGTAGATCTATGAGGAGTAGGTTCGCGCAGGTCCGAGGGTTTGCGCACGTTGTCAGCAGATGAGAGGTTCCGTCGAGCCTTCGCCTCTTCCTCGAACCTACGTTCCATCATGGCCATCATCTGGTTGGTGAATTGCCTCATAAATTCACCTGGATCAAAGTTCTGCGTTGATTGAAGTTGCTGCGAGTAAATGAAGCGTTCGCGAACGCTGATGAGTTGTGTGCCTCAACTTCACTCCGTTGAGAATTTGGTGCTTGGTCGTCAAACAGCTGGCCTGCTGTAGACGATCTAGTACTAGTAGTAGTCGTGGAAGTCAATTGAGTCGCCGATCTAGTAGGTACTTCAAGTAGAAGTAACGGAGGTTCATCAAATACGTCTACTTCATGTGGAGTATAATCTCTTCGTTGAAGGATTTCTGATGCGTTGACTTACTAGGCCGCGTAGATTTAGCTTCTGATCTGGCTACAGACGCTCTCCTCTGCGACATAGAAGAAGACGATGTCTTTTTCTTACTTAGAGCCGGTGTCAACTCCGTTGTAGCCGATCTCTTCTTCGCACCCGTACCAGACTACTGCCCATGCAACGTACTCGACATAGCACAAGTATCATGAATTTCTGCAGTAGCAAGCAACATAGGGTTAGCAGGCTGATCTCCTGATTTATCAGCCGTGACTTGTGATGACTTCACCCGATCCATGGCACGTATATAGATATAAGACAAATATTGATTAAATTGTAGATTTGATAAATCAACACAATATTACAACGCAAGCTGGAAGAACATGGTTTGATGCACGAAGGGCATTGGGGGTGAGGATCAGCCACGAATAACCTGTGCCTGCAAACACTACAAGATTTCATGAAATGTAAACAAGTTACATTACGATGAAACTATGACACAAATACAAAACTTTTTACACAATTTTTACACATAATACAAAGTAATTTTTAAAGCCAAATCAATACAAAGCATAATTTCAAAGAATAGGATCTAAATAAAACGGATATAATGCCGTATATTGGACTCCAGTGCTCGCCCAACCATCCGCTTGGGCAAAAAGGGAGAGAGTGACAAGTAAGGCTGGTCACATGACTGTTTACGCGGGAAAGGGCAAAGGGAGGTAACTCGTGGGTGAGTGCACTTTTACGTCCGCTTTGGGAACTTCAAAGGATTCAAGTGTTGCACTACCATTCGCATAGGAAAGGGAGATAAGCAAAAGATCATGAGTCAGGATAAGAAAAAATTACAAAAGTAAATAGATTAATCACCTAACCCGGAGAGCCTCAAGTTTAAACTTGGTGGCAGCTCGGAGAAGTTCCAGGAGAAATGAGTCCTCCACCTTGATGTTGATTTCGTCTGTGTACACCCATCTCATCAACGCGTGTGCCACATCGTACTGGATGTCTGAGGGGACAGTGGGGAAGAGGTGAAACAATACAAGTCATTCAGAAGTCTGGATCATTTATACTCAGAAGGTAAAACTGTAATCATCTTCATATACTCATAACTTAAAATCTCACTCACCTGTAACATGCAGCTCGGACACTTGGTGGAGATCTGTCACCCCCCAATCATCACTCCGAGATGACAAGATGAACTTGTGTGCTCTCAGCTGCTGACCCCCCTCCAAGTGGACCAGTAGGTCACTTCAAAGCAGAGAATCAACATTTCATGATGGCAAAAGCAACAAATCATGATGACAATCTGAAGATGTTCAGCAGAGTCTGGACCAGACAACCCAGTGACTGCCACAAAAGCACCAAACCATGTTACTGAGATAGTTGGTGGGTTGGTTTGTTGTTTAACACCGCACTAAGCAATACCCCAGCTAAATGGTGGCGGTCTGTAAATTATTGACCCTGGACCAGACAATCCAGTGATCAACATCAGGAGCATCAATCTACACAATTGGGATACGATGACATATGTCAACCAGGTCAGCGAACCTGACCACCTGATCCCATTAGTCGCCTTTTAGGACAAGCATGGGTTGCTGAAGATCAGTTCTATCCCGGATAACTGAGATAGCTGACATACATCAACTACATACTACATCATCCCGGTAGCTGCTGCTTGTGACATGTCAGGTGAACAAAGAATGACACATTGAGTGATGGGATGGTGGTTTTGATTACCAGAAAGATGTATTTATTTATTTACCAACATTTTTATATTGACATAACAATGGACATGAGGAGATTAATCATCAAATACAATAGTCTAAAGTCCATCTGATATGAAAATAACAAGCTTACCACAAGCGACAAGCTTACCTGTACTGATCTTTGTCGAACAAGTCTGCCACCAGTTTGAGGAGCCTGGAGACAAATGTGTCTTGAGCTCCGGCCCCTGACCCAGCCACTGCCACCTGGTACTTCCTCTCCAAGTCAGCATACTTATTTTGCAGTTTTACATATTCCTCTCGCAGTAAGCTCAGGTGGTTCTGTAGCTTGGCTACTTCACCTGTCACCAGAGTAACCAATACAAATTAGTTTTTAGTGATTTAGGGACATAATTTACCTATGAATATGTGAGTGAGTGAGTGAGTTGAGTTTTACGCCGCACTCAGCAATATTCCAGCTATATGGCGGCGGTCTGTAAATAATCGAGTCTGGACCAGACAATCCAGTGATCAACAGCATGAGCATCGATCTGCGTAATTGGGAACCGATGACATGTGTCAACCAAGTCAGCGAGCCTGACCACCCGATCCCGTTAGTCGCCTTTTACGACAAGCAGTCGCCTTTTATGACAAGCATGGGTTGCTGAAGACCTATTCTACCCCGGATCTTCACGGGTCCCTATGAATATGTGCATGTCCCAGTAGGCATTCCTGGACAAAGGCCAATATTCCTGCTAGTTTCTAATATTTTTGTTTTAATGACAAGTATGATTGATGTTATGTATTGTCATATTACCAAATAGGACTCAAAATAATTTATCTTCAAGCAGAGTATCAGTACCATTACTTTGTTCAAGCACATATTCAGAGACAATATAACAACCTGAATTAGGAACATTTTACAGACACTTGTTGTAGCCTTAGCAAATGCTGATGCTGCATATCACTTCCATTAATGCTTTAATAAATCTCTGAATTGTAACAAACTGCATTTTCATTTCTGTGGGAGCGAAAACTAAGAACGAAACCACTGAAGGTGTTGTGGTCCTTTTAATCATGTTAATAACCAGGATACAAGTCCTGTACACTGCATAATATGCACTGTCTACTATGCAGAGAATGAATGATAATAATAAAGCATAAACAAAGATGCCTGGCTTCTGCAGTTCGTCAGGCAGGTCACATGTTCACAGAATACTCCTACTGACAGTCATCTCAAACAATTGTGAACATCTGAATGTTTGTGTTATTGTCTAGAAGGCATGTAACATAGGATGTTGCACATTCATCATGAAACGGGATCATTATCATTCTTAACTGGCTTCAGATGGGAGAATTTGTATTTTCTCAGATTAAAAATTTACATACCTCATAACTAGGGATGTCACGATACATAAGTTTCATGTCACAATTCGATACATATCACAATACCTATTTTCACGGCATTACTGCGTAAATTTAGTTACATTTTGAAATTTAATATTTCATATTTTATTATTGTCTATGAAATGATCAACATTTTTTATTCTTAGATATTAATAAGTTCTAATTTCCCATCTTGTGCATGAAAAATAATCATTTATAACTCTCATAACATCAAAAAACATGATACAATTGCAAAATGTAAATGATACATAAACATACTTAAACCAATATTTTCAAAACTAAATAATGATACAGTTTTGAATGTATTGATAACTGTATCGTCTTAGAAAAAGTATCGATGCATCCCTACTCATAACCCTGAAAGGGATTTATTTATATCTGCTCAGAGACTTATATTTGGGCATATTTTTTTAACAAATGTCAGTAAATCTTCCCAAATTTGATGCATTCTCAGATTTGATGTATATCTTACCAGGAGCACTTAGTTTAGAATCCTGGATAAATCCAAGTATGAAGTGTATTGACTATTCTTCACTGAGTCGGTGTTGTGATTAGCATAAACTGTTTTTATATCTAATTTGTATGCACCAGAATTATGTTTAATGGGGTTTTTCTCAATATTGGGTATATTTTCCATCTACATAAACTATGAACATATTATGCATGGAAAGTAAAAAAGTCAGGATAATCAGCTGTAATTTTCATGACTAGGGGAATGGATAATTCACACGAATTTGAAAATTAATCTGAAAATTCTCTTTTCAATGGAACTTCAAGTGTGAAGGCAAGTGATAACAAAGTGTTTTGATGTATACTATTGAGTTTGTGCAGCCTGGTACATACAGTTATTAAGTGGACAGAATACAGAAGGTTTAACCAACTAACCAAGATCAACATATACAACAGCAATAGCATGCAATAGCAGAGAAGCATCAGTGAAGTAATGCAATACAGATACACCTGTAATACCCCTGACTGCACAGCTGTCTACATGACGCAGGTACTACGACATGTGTCTGTGTCCATCATTACTTATATCCATCGAGAAGGAAGGACTCATTAGATGACCATCGTTTTGTAAATCCCCTACTCCTCCCCTTACTATATGATGGGAAACAACTAATGACAACATCATAGTTCATACTATACATGAACAAACGAACTGACAATTGACAGGGTCCCTGTCACTGGCGAGTAGCGTCACTGTCAAACCTCTACACTGTCAGCTATTTGACGATAAACACTCCAATAAAACCGCCACGCATATTTCTTGTCAAAAAGTCAGTATGCTTCTTTGCACGCTTTTGTGTATCTGAAAGTGTGTAGATGCTAGACGGGTTACTGTTATATCCACCGTCCCTCCCACCGACACACTTACCTTCCGCCATTTTGCGAGTAAAGTCATGTGACTTGATGGTGGAATGTAAAGCATGCGCAGGAAATCAAATACGGAAGATAGTACTGCTTAAAATGATTTCTGTTAATAGCGGCACTTTCATAGTGTTATAAATTAACACTATCTTCAGGTTCACTATAGAAACACGTATTTCATTTAAGATTGCTTCTCTTTCCCAAACCAACTGATAAAAAATCCAAGATATTAGTATACATAAATTTATAATTTGAACACACACTGTCTGCATTGGGTACCACTCAAATTGCCCCAGCTACAAAATGCCCCAGCAAATTTGGTCAAGATGCCCCAGATTTTTGGGTCAAATTGCCCAAGCTTTGGTCAAATTGCCCCAATTAATTTAAAATGATTAAATATGATATCACATATGCCATAAATGCATAGCTTTTTTCAACTATGATATTATAATCCTCATATAAAAGTTATATTAGGCAATAATATTTCTGATAACTATTTCCTTCACCGCGTTTGTCCATGTTTGTATGCAGATTACCAGGACTGTGTACATGTACTGCCGACTCATATTATCGACTCGCACAAGGAAGTAGGAAAAAACGGAATCACAACAGACACTAAATTGCCCACTTTACATGAACAGGGGCGGTGGGGTAGCCCGGTGGTTAAAGAATTCACTCCTCGCGCCGAAGGCCTGAGTTCGATTCCCTACATGGGTACAATGTGTGAAGTCAATTTTTTGTATCAAATCGACATCAATCAGTGTGTATTAATGGAACTGTTTAGGAGAAGGAACAAGTTCAATTTAGAGTACCTCAAGGGTCAGTCCTCGGTCCGATTCTGTTGGTCATTTATCCTTCACCACTAAGAGACATAGTCCGATCACACAACCTTCACTTTCACATGCTACTCAGCTCTACCTCGGTTTCAAGCCTCTACAGTCTTCATCTGTAATTCAAAATTGCATTGCTGATTTTCCAAAAATGGATGACCAAACACTTCCTGAAGCTGAAACGACACATAACAGAAATGCTCATTCTCTGTTCAAGTTCGACACGAGAAAGGTTGTCTTCAATAACACTTGAAATTGAAGAGTGTATCATTCAACCCAGTGATCACGTTCGCATCCTTGGGGCGATGCTTCGTGACAACACTATCAGCCTTGAACAGTCAATAACATGTGCAAAAATGCCTACTATTACATCCGAAACATAGGCCTAATAAGGAAGTACATCAACCAGCAAACTGCAGCAGCACTGATGCAGGCATATGTAGTATCTCGGCTGGACCATTGCAATGCTCTGCTTGAGGGGCTTCCAGAATATCTTCTGACCATGTTACAGAGAGTCCAGAACTCAGCTGCCTGAGTTGTGACACGCACAAAGAAGACAGAGCATATATAACATCTGTTCTGATGACATTGCACTGATTACCCATCCGACAACGTATCCAGTACAAGATATTGGTACTGATGTTCAAAGCCTTGCACAACACGGCACCAGTTTATCTCTCAGACCTTGTGCAAGAATATCAATCAAAACGTCATCTGAGGTCATCACGACAACACATGTGCCGGACAGTGGTCAGGCGGACTAAGACATTTCAGGTTGTCGGCCCAACTTTGTGGAACAAATTACCCCTCTCTCTTCGATCAGTAGAGACGTTCAGCTTATTCAAATCCAGATTAAAAACTCGTTTGTTCAGCATTGCATACCGAGTTCAGCAGCGCTTTTGAGGAATCTTCTGAAGACTGGATATTAGCGCTACATAATCTCAAATGTATATGTAAATGATATCTCTGGAATATTGCTGAAAGTGGCGTAAAACCCAACTCACTCACTCACTTTCATGAACATATTGACATAGGATGATCCTGCCATGTGTTACATGAGTGTATTGACTTACAAAACGGAAATATTGTGGGACATAAACATAAACCGTAAGCACCCTCAGAACAATAAATATTTTATCTGTGCGGAGTTTGGTCCCATGAACCCAGAACTGGCAGAAGCCTATGATACTGGGTTCGAATCTCAGTTCAACCCGATTAAATGTCATGGTTTATCGGCACTATACACACGCATACAGCACATTGTCAACCAAACATACACGTACTTTACAATTTCAAATATATATAAAAATGCATGTCCAACTGCGACAAAATTGACCGCATATTAATTGTTCCCAACTGCACCCTATTTAATACATTTATCGCACCCGACTTATTCCTGACCGTATAATGATGGTCCAATGTAGATTAATAGGTATGACTTTATGTATGTAGGTTCTTATGAGTTAATTTAGTTATATTTATATTTGTGTGTGTTGGTGCGACGTAAACCTTCAATAGAATTCACCTTATAGTAGAGGACAGCTGAAACATGTGAACGCCAAGCCCACTAATCAATGAACGAATACCATCTGAACAATGGTCAAAACACAGACCCGTCTCCGCCTTTTGTCTGGATGACATAGTTGTTGAACTTTGTTTGAAACTGATGGACCTGATTCTTCAGTCACTCTCAAGCTGTCGAAAGGTCGAGTTGTTCAACTCCGACAATCAGAGGAGTTCCTGTCTTCAGAAATTTGGAGATGGGAGCACTACTGCATACTCTCAAGGTTAGTCTGTAATCGGTGCTGTAGTATCGTACGTGAGTTTGTAAAGTTAGTCGCACGTGAGTTTATAAAGTTAGTATGGGTGTTTATAAGTGCGTATGCATGCGCGTATGTGTAAATTAGTGCATGTGAAGACGTGTGTAAGTAGAATAAGGGGACCCTATTGAATATATTCGCCCCTAACCTAATCCAAACCCAAACCCTACCCGGAGCCCCATTAGAATATGTTTCACCCTAACCTAACCCTTACCCTACCCGGAGCTCCTATAGAATATCTTCGCCCCTAACCTAATCCAAACCTTACCCGGAGCTCCAATAGAATATCTTCGCCCTTAACATAATCCGAACCCTACCCGGAGCCCCTTTAGAATATGTTCCACCCTAACCTGACCCTTACCCTACCCGGAGCTCCTATAGAATATCTTCGCCCCTAACATAATCCAAACCCTTACCCTACCCGGAGCTCCATTAGAATATGTTCCACCTTAACCTGACCCTTACCTACCCGGAGCTCCATTAGAATATGTTCCACCTTAACCTGACCCTTACCCTACCCGGAGCCCCTTTAGAATATGTTCCACCCTAACCTGACCCTTACCCTACCCGGAGCTCCTATAGAATATCTTCGCCCTTAACATAATCCAAACCCTTACCCTACCCGGAGCTCCATTAGAATATGTTCCACCCTAACCTGACCCCTACCCTACCCGGAGCTCCTATAGAATATCTTCGCCCTTAACATAATCCAAACCCTTACCCTACCCGGAGCTCCATTAGAATATGTTCCACCTTAACCTGACCCTTACCCTATCCGGAGCCCCTTTAGAAAATGTTCAACCTACCCGACCCTTACCCTACCCGGAGCTCCATTAGAATATGTTCCACCTTAACCTGACCCTTACCCTACCCGGAGCTCCATTAGAATATGTTCCACCCTAACCTGACCCTTACCCTACCCGGAGCTCCATTAGAATATGTTCCACCCTAACCTGACCCTTACCCTACCCGGAGCTCCATTAGAATATGTTCCACCCTAACCTGACCCTTACCCTATCCGGAGCCCCTTTAGAAAATGTTCAACCTACCCGACCCTTACCCTACCCGGAGCTCCATTAGAATATGTTCCACCCTAACCTGAGACAAACCCTTACCCTACCCGGAGCCCCTTTAGAATATGTTCCACCCTACCTGAGCCTTACCCCCACCTACCCTACCCGGAGCCCCTCCATTAGAATATGTTCCACCTACCTGACCCTTACCCTACCCGGAGCTCCATTAGAATATGTTCCACCCTAACCTGACCCTAACCCCTTACCCTACCCGGAGCTCCATTAGAATATGTTCCACCCTAACCTGAGACAAACCCTTACCCTACTCGGAGCCCCTTTAGAATATGTTCCACCCTATCCTAACCCCCTACCCGAGCCCTACCTAACCTGGAGCCCATTTAGAATATGTTCCATCCTAACCTGAGCCTAACCCTTACCCCCTACCCGGAGCACCTATAGAATACCTTCGCCCCTAACCTAACCCTTACCTTACCCGGAGCCCCTTTAGAATATGTTCCATCTACCTGACCCTTACCCTACCCGGAGCTCCATTAGAATGTGTTCGACCCTAACCTGAGCCTAACCCTTACCCTACCCAGAGCCCCTTTAGAATATGTTTCACCCTAACCTGACCCTTACCCTACCCGGAGCTCCTATAGAATATGTTCCACCCTTACCTGACCCTTACCCTACCCGGAGCTCCATTAGAATATGTTCCACCCTAACCTGACCCTTACCCTACCCGGAGCTCCATTAGAATATGTTCCACCCTTACCTGACCCTTACCCTACCCGGAGCTCCATTAGAATATGTTCCACCCTTACCTGACCCTTACCCTACCCGGAGCTCCATTAGAATATGTTCCACCCTTACCTGACCCTTACCCTACCCGGAGCTCCATTAGAATATGTTCCACCCTAACCTAACCCTTACCCTACCCGGAGCTCCTATAGAATATCTTCGCCCCTAACCTAGCTAATCCAAACCTTACCCGGAGCTCCAATAGAATATCTTCGCCCTTAACATAATCCGAACCCTACCCGGAGCCCCTTTAGAATATGTTCCACCCTAACCTGACCCTTACCCTACCCGGAGCCTCTTTAGAATATGTTCCACCCTAACCTGACCCTTACCCTACCCGGAGCCCCTATAGAATATCTTCGCCCCTAACCTAGCTAATCCAAACCTTATCCGGAGCTCCAATAGAATATCTTCGCCCTTAACATAATCCGAACCCTACCCGGAGCCCCTTTAGAATATGTTCCACCCTAACCTGACCCTTACCCTACCCGGAGCCCCTTTAGAATATGTTCCACCCTAACCTGACCCTTACCCTACCCGGAGCTCCTATAGAATATCTT